TGTAGATAACCTTCTTAATACTGCAACAACTGCATATCAATAAATCAGATCTCTTCTACTCCAAATTCTCTAATCAGCAGGAGTATCTGTAATGCACTACAAATGGGAAATCACAGAGGCAGTAAAGCACAATCTGAGGGTTTTAAAAGTGAGATGTTCAATACATAGCGTATCTCATAAAAGGCATATATGCTTAAAAAGTTATTTGAGTAAAATAATAATGTTTTTATGATGGAAAACAATCCAAAGTTTGTATAAAACTATTTCCAATTGTCTCAAGGCATATCCAGACAGTGTTAACAGTATAAAATCGTTACTGCAGAGTCCTGGAGGATTGGAAGGCTGTCCTTTTATTGAGGAACTAACATTGTTTTACACACACACACAGGCATACACACATGCAGTCTTGGAAGTTGCCCAGTGCTACCTTCTGCTGCATGACCACCGTGCTGCACCATCCGGAGGCAGGTGCAATATCAGTGTTCAAGGGCATGTCAACAGCTGCAATGTGTGTATATATGGCTCTTTCTGTGTATATGTAGTCATACGTCTGTTATTATCTAGGGGTTTCAAACTAGTCTTACTTTCAGGTAAGACTAGTTGTGACTAGTTTCACTGAACATCATCACCAGGTTCTAGTATTATAACCATTTAGATTGAGTAAATGCTCAACCAATCTATTATTGATTGGATTTGATTGATTGGAACGGGACAAACATTTCTTTACCTTTTCCATTTTGATACCTAGTCCATCGAGCATAAGAAGCATGTTAGTTCAAGAGGAAGACTCAAAGTTAGCGCATGGATGAAGTAAGCTACTCGAAGGGATAAAATTTGTCAGTGATTTTCGGAAGATGCCAGGAATGGTGAAGAGGAGTGGTACAAAGTGGCTTTTTATCTGTTATGATGAATATCATAATATAGAATCTTGATTTAGAGATTATGGTGCATTTCGTTTGTCCTCTGAAGTCAGAATTTACCACATCTGGGTAAAAAATTTAAACTGGACGCCACCAACAGGCAGGTTTACCAGTTGGGTTAACATGACTGGTAAACCTACATCCACATATAAGATTTTTGCTACTCGCATCAAAAGTAGTAAAATATTCTTAAATTTTAATCATTTTTGTGACCTTTAGTCAGTGAGGTACTACTTTTTATTGTTTATAAGACAAGAGGTTTTGACACTGTTTTTATATGCAAAACAAAGTTATTACCTCCACCAAGGAGGTCATGTTTTGGTAGCTCCCATTGGTTGGTTGGTTGGCGAGATTGCAAAAAGAAGAGCATGGACATATTGTTCTAAAAAACCTTTTTACAAAAGATGAGTCTTCTACCAGGTGAATTTTTGAATTTATGATTTCATAAAACTCCTGAAAATACATCTTGCTAGAAGCCAACAGATGTGTTAGACTCTATACAGAAATGTTTTGGACCAATGAGGTGCAGTGACATGCATGTTTGCAATAAAACTGGAGGCAGACGGCTGAAGCAAGACAAGATGCACCGGTTTGAGATGCCAGACAGTAGCAAAAGAACATGATTGGTGGGTGGGTAGATGTTTGCTCGTTCATCCTGTACAGGTTCATAAAAGGCTAAACATATTGTGGAGGTTTTTCAGAAATTTTTTGAAAAGACTCTCCACTAAAAAAAATGCACATGCACAACCCTGCACCCGCTCCAGAACGGGCACTCCTATTAAACATGTGCAAGACCATCCACAAGCCCATTTCTCCGTATGCACGCTCTGTTTAAAAGTTTCTGTTTGCATCGCTCATACAAGCTTACTTTCCAAATTAAGATTTGCAATTTTTTCACTATGTCAGACTCATCACCAATAAGTGAAAATGGGGACGAGCACGTAGGACGGCCTTGCATAAACATATCACCAGAATGATTGACATTTAGGAAGACCACTTATTTTGATGATCTACCCGGAAAAAGAAAATCCTCCACTATACCTTTAACTTCATGACACAAATCAAGAATGAGATATGTCTCAGCTGTTACTTCCGCTGTGATTGGCTAAAAACCCAATATGGGATGTAGGTACCCAATCAGCTAGCGGAATGGTACTTTATGTCTCTTTTTGTGTAAACCTTCTATGACAGGATTTCCAGATGGATACTTGTATAATTCAGACTGAATTAGCTGTATTAATCTAGCTTATGCCAGGTTAGTGAGCCTTAAGGCCGGTTTATGCTTTCGACGCATAGCCTTTGCAACCTACAAATATGTCTCTGTTTGCAACCACGCTCCCCACGCAGAGGTTCTGCAACGGTCGTCGCGCACCTCATAAAAATCTTGACTAGGTGTCGGACGGTCGCAAACCCGCACAGACCTCAAGCGGAAGAGCACAGACAAAAAGCAGCTGTGATTGGTCCTTGGTATGCCTTTCCGGCTGTCTGTGTGGTCGTCCTTCTCGATTTGGCGCTGTGGCGCGCCATTTTTAAAAACCAAGGAACAACTAAAATGGACAACCCCGACGAAAGGTTAAACAGTCTTTTTTCCAACTCCATTAAGAGAACCTGTTCCTCTTCAATGTCTAGCAACTCTAGATCCATCTCCGTGGCCAAGATATGTTGCTGATGCGCCATCGTTGTCTCGGAAGACAAACACTCCCATCCGCACGGCCAAAGTTTTCACGAGTTCTCAAATAGGCTCCCCCTAGCGCTTTGGCGGGAAACTGCTTTGCATCCCTAGAAATTCCAGACTGACGTCAGCAAAACTGGTTCGCAACCACACCCAAGAAACATTTGATGTGTGCAGTTGCAGAAGTAAAATCTGCCCTTTAGCCCAACTTACCCACTAAATGATGGGGTTGAATCACTAAGGACTACATAACCAATCACTGCAAAGTTTATCTTAGAACCATAAATAGACTTCCCTACTATTTAAGAAGTTTTCTGAACTTTGTGTTTTTATTTAGCATGTATATTTATTGTTTTAATGCTCTTAAAATACAGAAATCTCTCGTTGTGAAACAGCAAAGAAATTCTTATATTTCTCAACAGTGGTCATAACATCCATAAATGAGCAATGAAGAATACAAGCTTCCATGTTTTTCAGACTTCACAATCAGGGAATTAGCCGTGGGCAAGATACATCCCTATCTTTCATGTCCTTTGACTGTGCAAAGCACCTGGAGGCAAGTAGCTGGAGAAAATCAACACTTACATGTGGAGAATATTTAAACAGCATGTCATGCAGAAAAAGGACCTTCATCCAACAGTGCAATCAACTACCATCCAAAACTGGTCACCTGTAGCACTGATATTGAGAACTACAACAAAACAATGCCTCAAACATCAGTATTATAATAGTTATTACATGAACAATGATTATGATGACTTTTAAATAGTTCCTAACATTTAAGATGCTATTTCAAAGAAAAAAAGAAAAAGTATTTTCTAAAACATGACAAGACATGCTGTGAAAGAGCAAGAGAGAGCAATGCTTTCAGCAGCCATTTCTATATATATTGGCTGGCATGGTTCTCGTACCAAAATGCTTTGCCTGAGTTCAAAACTTAAGGATAAAAGCTGCTGATTTCACTGACTTCACACAGTGTAACACCAAATCAAATCTATAAACTTCTTGATGACTGCATCATTGATGTCTTGCAGTATTTTCCTTTTTTTAACAAGATAACATAGCTAGATAAAATATGAATATAAATACATTGGAATTGTAATTGATGACTCCCTCACCTTCAAACCTTTTTATTGATAAACTTGTTAAGAAATTAAAAGTTAAACTGGGTTTCTTCTTTCGTAATAAGACATGTTTTTCTTTTTGGAGTAAAAAAAGCGCCTTGTCTCTGCCATGTTTTTATCAGTCTTAGATTATGGTGACCTTTTTTATAAGAATGCTACTTCTTCATGTCTTCAAATGTTGGACTCTGCTTACCATGCTTCATTAAGGTTCATCACAAACTGTAGAGCCATGAAACATCACTGTGACCTTTGCTCTCAGGTGGAACGGCCTTCCCTCTCTACGAGAAGGCAGTGTCATTGGTACACTTTTATTTACAAGGCCCTTCTTGGATTACTGCTCTCTCACATTTACTTATTTACACAGAAAAGCATTATGCCCTGAGATCCAACGATCAGCTCTTGTTCACTGTTCTTTTGCCTGAAAAGAACTAGGGAGGAAAGCCTTTAGCTACGCAGCTCCTTGTGCTTGAAATTTTTTTTACAAATAAACTGGAGGTTGACTGAGTTTTTATCTTTAAATGCTTTTAAGTTGAAAGTGGAAAAATTTGAAGCAATCTCAATGATTTGTAATTGTTTAACTTGATATGTTTTTTTTATTGTACCTGTCATTTAATGTATCTCTTTTTCTTATGTAACTTTGCTGCCTCTTGGCCATGACTCCCTTGAAAAAGAGGTTTTTAATCTCAATGGGATTTTTTTCCCCTGGTTAAATAAAGTTTAATTAAAAATAATTTTTTAAAACTCTTCCAGAATTATGCAGCTTGTTATGTTAAACTTGTAGCTGCAGGGTGATAACATCTGAGGATAATAAAGAACAGAATTACAAACTAAGAGGTGCTCCCTCTCTGCTCTGTGTGATGCGGATCTATAAAAAACAGCAGATCTCAGACCCAGATGGACCAAGCTCAGTTTCCAAAGGGTTTCACCACAAACCAAAGTGCGCAAAACCCATATGACGCACACCTGTGACGGCTAATCTAAATTACCAATAGAACCATAAAGGGTTTCCTAACATGCAGCCGCTTAATTAAAGAGGGGGAAAAACATTGCTGGGTCCTGATGATGCCCAAATAATGTCACCATAACACTGACATGTTCGCAGCTTCTGCAGACTGCGCGCAAACGCTCCGTAGAGGAGCAGAGCGTGTTTCCAAAAACAGCCACGGACACAGGAGAGCGAAGTTGGGGCGTAAAATGAAGCAGAGTCCAGCTGAGAGGCTCAGATGAACCTGCAGCCAAGTCTGATCAGACTGACAGCAGCGTAGAGAAAACCAATTCACTCACCTCTTTGGTATCGACGATGCCTTTGACGTATTTTCCGTAGACAGAATCCACGCAGAGCACAGTGGAAAGCACGACCAGCCACATGAGTCTCTCCCCGACCCTCACCTCCATCTTCCTCTCTCCCCCGCAGCCGCTCGTCTGTTCTCTCAGCTCTCCCAGAAAGCTTGCCTCCGGCTCGGGGGCGCGCACGGAGGAGCAGCAGAAAGAAGCGCGCGCGCGCACCCCGCCTCCTGCCTCCTCCAGCTGTTGTAGATGGATGGATAGATGGAGATGATGTTCCTCTCTGAGTGTTTTGGGGGGGTGGGAGTGGGATGCAGAGGGAAGCGCGCGCCGTTTTCCGCTCGTGCCTCGGCCCCACGACACGTCCACGCAGAAAAAATTCCACCCCCTGATTGCAATCATGTTTTCATCTGAGGTCATATATATACTGCTAATGAAGTGGTTCCTAGGCAGATTATGTCTGGCCTTCCGCTGCAAAAGTAATCATATCAATTATCAGGAAGATTAAAAGAAAAAAAAAAAACAGTGGAGAATTTATTATTATTATTTTTTAAATAAGATAAAAAGTAACTGCAAGTCCTCACAATAGTATTTGAACCAAAACATAATCAGCATCTGATTATGTTAAGGCAAATATGCATCACAAAATGTCCATTTTATGTTGGTATATTGCATCTAATTACTAAATATTTAAATGTTTTTCAACAATGTGATGCAGATTACAACCTACCAGATGAAAACATGCAATTTCCACTCTTGCTCATATTTGATGCATATTAGTCTTCAGAACTTACAGTAGTGGCACTGGAAAAAGGTTTGTTTCCAGGTGCATCCGAGGCAGGATCATTTTTAAATGTGCTTTGTAAAAAATAATAAGAACAGCACATTCTACAAAGATAATCCTGCAGGTTTTAAGATCATTTTTACTACACTGCCTTTAAAAAGGAACTACTTGCACCTATCAAACTTACAAATGTTGTAATTCATTGTATTTAAGCTCCAGTCATTAGGATTTTATGTGACATTAAAAGCAGGCCGTTTATAACTAGTATCACCTGTATAACATCTGTTTTTGGGTTTCTTTGTTGTCCTTTTTTATCATAAAAGACCTCAAATGTGTTTTTAAGAGAATGCTGGTGAACAAACGATATAATGGAAAAAAAGAAACGCAGCAGAAAGGATAGGAGTAAACTTTAGTAAAAAAGTTTTTTGTCATAAACCTATAATCCAGGCCTTGAATGTCTCAGCCTGTGAATATTCCTGGCCATAAATGCTAAAGGTTTTAACACAGCAGCAATACATGGCCGCCTGGGATCAACCGACAGGCTATATATTAATCAGAGAAGCAGCTTTGAGGAGAAAATATGTAAACAGGACAACTAGCTGTGCACTTAAGCAAATGTGGCCGTTCTGGGAAACAGGTGACAAATCATTTGGAGTGTCTTTTAACGTTTACTATAAGTGAGGTTTTTAGGTCTAGACTCAGAATCCCATTTGTGGTAGAAAACTATTGCCATAGATCATCAACTTGGACATATTAGAATTTACCATAGAAGTTTTACCATCCAGCAAGTTCTTGTGTTTCACCTAAAGTTCAAACCAAAATGCAACTGAGTCTTGAGTAAGAGTGCATTGTTTTTTTGTTTTTTCTATGGGAAATACTGTTCAGGAAATTTTACAAAGATGAAGAGATCAAAATCACATTTTTTGGATGTTTATAGCTGGACGCGGTGTACCCTAAATTAAATGCAACTGTTGTCAACAGACAATTCAGCAGTATTTGTGTTAGTCCAGCTTATGAATTCTAAGATATTTAGAGTGATTTTAGAGTACAGTAGAATGAATCTGCAGCTTTATTATTTTTACACTTAAAAATATCGCCCCACTTTAGATTTAAGGATTAAATAGATATCGCCTTTGTCTCTTTGCTTTGTCACCTTCTTTTGTGCAGGAAATCAAACAAACACCCAGTCCACAACCTCATGTGGCTCACAGACGCTGTGACATTCTTAAAGTTGGAACAAATACAGATGCTCAATAAGTGGCATATACACTCACTGGCCACTTTATTAGGTACACCTGTCCAACTGCTCGTTAACACTTAATTTCTAAGCAGCCAATCACATGGCGGCAACTCAGTGCATTTAGGCATGTAGACATGGTCAAGACAATCTCCTGCAGTTCAAACCGAGCATCAGTATGGGGAAGAAAGGTGATTTGAGTGACTTTGAATGTGGCATGATTGTTGGTGCCAGAAGGGCTGGTCTGAGTATTTCAGAAACTGCTGATCTACTGGGATTTTCACGCACAACCATCTCTAGGGTTTACAGAGAATGGTCCGAAAAAGAATAAACATCCAGTGAGCGGCAGTTCTGTGGGTGGAAATGCCTTGTTGATGCCAGAGGTCAGAGGAGAATGGCCAGACTGGTTGGAGCTGATAGAAGGGCAACAGTGACTCAAATAACCACCCGTTACAACCAAGGTGGGCAGAAGAGCATCTCTGAACGCACAGTACGTCGAACTTTGAGGCAGATGGGCTACAGCAGCAGAAGACCACACCGGGTGCCACACCTTCAGCTAAGAACAGGAAACTGAGGCTACAATTTGCACAAGCTCATGGAAATTGGACAATAGAAGATTGGAAAAACGTTGCCTGGTCTGATGAGTCTCAATTTCTGCTGCGACATTCGGATGGTAGGGTCAGAATTTGGCGTCTACAACATGAAAGCATGGATCCGTCCTGCCTTGTATCAACGGTTCAGGCTGGTGGTGGTGGTGTCATGGTGTGGGGAATATTTTCTTTGCACTCTTTGGGCCCCTTGGTACCAATTGAGCATCGTTGCAACGCCACAGCCTACCTGAGTATTGTTGCTGACCATGTCCATCCCTTTATGACCACAATGTACCCAACTTCTGATGGCTACTTTCAGCAGGATAATGTGCCATGTCATAAAGCTGGAATCATCTCAGACTGGTTTCTTGAACATGACAATGAGTTCACTGTACTCAAATGGCCTCCACAGTCACCAGATCTCAATCCAATAGAGCATCTTTGGGATGTGGTGGAACGGGAGATTCGCATCATGGATGTGCAGCCGACAAATCTGCGGCAACTGTGGGATGACATCATGTCAATATGGACCAAACTCCCTGAGGAATGCTTCCAGCACCTTGTTGAATCTATGCCACGAAGAATTGAGGCAGTTCTGAAGGCAAAAGGGGGTCCAACCCGTTAATAGCATGGGGTACCTAATAAAGTGGCCGGTGAGTGTATATATATACTATTTATTACTTTTTTCAGTTTTGTGTCATTTGAATTACTAGTGTGTAATTAACGTTTTTTAATGGGAGGGTTTGTAAACTTTCAAGCATCGCTGCATATATTTACAAACTTTTCAATAACCATGCAGAGAAAACCTCTCCATTACAATCTTTTGTTGTTTCATATGTGCACTGACAAAGTTCAGCAATAAGCTAGGACACAGGGAAGATTTCCTGGGAGAATATATTTATTTAGATAAAAGTCAGCAAAAGAATAAACTTTCTTATAAATATGGTTCATCTCATACATCAGTCTACAGGTGCTGGTCATAAAATTAGAATATCATGAAAAAGTAGATTGATTTCAGTAATTCCATTTAAAAAGTGAAACTTGTATATTATATTCATACATTACATACAAACTCATATATTTCAGATGTTTATTTTGTTTAATTTTGATGATTACAAATGACAACAAATGAAAATCTCAAATTCATCATATCAGAAAATTAGAATATTGTGAAAAGGTTCAAAATTGATGGCCCCTGGTGCCACACTCTAATCAGCTAATTAACTCAAACCACCTGCAAAAGCCTTTAAATGGTCTTTCAGTCTAGTTCTATAAGCTACACAATCATGGGGAAGACTGCTGACTTGACAGTTGTCCAAAAGACGACCATCGACACCTTGCACAAGGAGGGCAAGACACAAAAGGTCATCGCTAAAGAGGCTGGCTGTTCACAGAGCTCAGTGTCCAAGCACATTAATAGAGAGGCGAAGGGAAGGAAAAGATGTGGTCGAAAAAAATGTACAAGCAAGAGAGATAACCGCACCCTGGAGAGGATTGTGAAACAAAACCCATTCAAAAATGTGGGGGAGATTCACAAAGAGTGGACTGCAGCTGGAGTGAGTGCTTCAAGAACCACCACACACAGACGTATGAAAGACATGGGTTTCTGCTGTCGCATTCCTTGTGTCAAGCCACTCTTGAACCACAGACAGCGTCAGAAGCGTCTTGCCTGGGCTAAAGAGAAACAGGACTGGACTGCTGGTGAGTGGTCCAAAGTCATGTTCTCTGATGAAAGTAAATTTTGCATTTCCTTTGGAAATCAAGGTCCCAGAGTCTGGAGGAAAAGAAGAGAGGCACTTCATCCACGTTGCTTGAAGTCCAGTGTAAAGTTTCCACAGTCAGTGATGGTTTGGGGTGCCATGTCATCTGCTGGTGTTGGTCCATTGTGTTTTCTGAGGTCCAGGGTCAACGCAGCCACATACCAGGAAGTTTTAGAGCACTTCATGCTTCCTGCAGCTGACCAACTTTTTGGAGATGCAGATTTCATTTTCCAACAGGACTTGGCACCTGCACACAGTGCCAAAGCTACCAGTACCTGGTTGAAGGACCATGGTATCCCTGTTCTTAATTGGCCAGCAAACTCTCCTGACCTTAACCCCATAGAAAATCTATGGGGTATTGTGAAGAAGAAGATGCAATACACCAGACCCAACAATTCAGAAGAGCTAAAAGCCACTATTAGAGCAACCTGGGCTATCATAACACCTGAGCAGTGCCACAGACTGATCGACTCCATGCCACGCCGCATTGCTGCAGTAATACAGGCCAAAGGAGGCCCAACTAAATACTGAGTGCTGTACATGCTCATACTTTTCATGTTCATACTTTTCAGTTGGCCAACATTTCTATAAATCCTTTGTTTTTATTGGTCTTCAGTAATATTCTAATTTTCTGATATGATGAATTTGAGATTTTCATTTGTTGTCATTTGTAATCATCAAAATTAAACAAAATAAACATCTGAAATATATGAGTTTGTATGTAATGTATGAATATAATATACAAGTTTCACTTTTTAAATGGAATTACTGAAATCAATCTACTTTTTCATGATATTCTAATTTTATGACCAGCACCTGTATTATGGAACCATCAAAGTTTACAGTCGAAAAAATAATCAATCTGATAAACAGATATCAAAGTAAAAATATCTACATGAGTCATCTTTATTTCACATTTTTTAGCATTAATCACAGGTTTGCACTTGTGGTGTTTTCAACAAAGTACTGTTTAAAGAAAAAAAAAACGGTTTTCCAGTCTATGGCTTTTTAAATCAAGTCTTTTTTTCTCACCTATTTCTATAATAGGTAAAGGAGGAACATCTTCCTCCTCAGAAATCATGCAGCACAATTTGCATATGGAGTGCAGGCAGGTTATTCTAGACGACACCTGCAATGCAATGGTAACAGCTGAACATTAAACAGGAGGGACGGAACATCTGCCTTCCCTCTTTGGTTCTACTTTAACTCCACCCTAATCTTTCCAGCCACGATGAAACATTCCAGTGAAGTGCCTGAGGTAAATATAATAACCGCTGCATCTATACAAGCCGACCTAAAGCAAACTCAATGTGTTACTATAGATATGATTTGATAGATTACTTGTGAAGCTCAAGTTAAAGCTTATCGAAGCGTATTGCACGACAATAATCAGCATCGCCACTCTTCTGACTCGGAGAGCAGAGACTATAGTGAGGAAAATCCTAGAGTTACAAGCTGAAGAAAGGATATTGCACTTCAATAAACTCACGATTGGTCAACTAAAGAATTTTAAGATAAACAACCCAGTGAAAATACGCAGATATGTTTATACTGAAGTGCAATAAGATTTTGAACCCACCAGGAGAGGTGGACAAACTATGAGTCAGCAATTCTAAGCATTACAGTGAAATAAAGGTTTGAAGCTCAAAGCTTCAGGAGCTCAAATCATAAAACCAGAGCTTTGTCAGGAATAAATGTCACCAAAAACAGGCAGAATTTTGCTTGTAAGTATTTCCCAAACCGTCACCTGCTTTCATGTAGCATATGAGGGTCTATACACTATGTTTGACACATTACTTTTACATTTGCTTACAAATAAGCAGCAGTTCTGCTTGTCAGTCACTTGTAGCGCTGCTCTTGAACTATCCACTTCAAATTACACACAGAGACGATATGTGTTGTGAAATCACACTATATAAATAAACAGAAGGGAGGACAGGAAAATAAAAAAGGTTCCTAGGAGGATCGACGATCAAAGTCTGCCTCCACCTCAGATGATCAAGGCTATGAAAAGTCCGTTTACTTTAAAGTGCCATTAAAAAAAAAAAACATGACACAAATAAAATCCTCTCCACACAGAAAACTGTTTGTGCTTCAGTGATAAGCAGCAAGCAAACTTGGAATAAACTAACTGCAGTAAAAGTACAAACTGCACATTAACAGCAACAATCAAAACAAGTTCAAACTTCAGCCCCAAACTGCACAGACTAAGTGTATTATTCTCTCTGTCAATCTGACTTAAAATTTTTGCACTAAGTTCTTCAAGCTGACAGAATAGAGAACCGTCTAATCCTGTAGCATGACTGCACTTCAACGGGTGGTGGTGGGGAGGATTTCACAGTCAGAGCATCAGCTAAATCCTATTCATCAAACTGCATCCTTCTCTGCAGAACTGGCAACCTCTGCTCTGTTACCGGGAGACACACACTGTTGGCAACAGCGTGGACTAACCTGCGGAAGGTTTCTGGTGCATTTTAAACAACATTGATAGATGAAATGAATCTGAAAGTTGCCAAAAATAGTGACAGTCCTATTTTGCGTGAAATGCATTTTTTTTTGCTATTTTTTATTTTTTTCACAGCAAGGGTTTTCAAGATTTGCCTAAAAGCCTCTGACTTGTTATGAAAACAAACAAGCTGTCGGGTCATAAATCCCTGGGCTGGAGGAGGCTTAGGTTGGACACTGACACCAGTAGAGAAAATCTGACAACTCACAAGAAAAGCAGTGTCATCATGTTAAAAACGTGTATGGAAAGCTGAGATTTTTTTTTTCTTAACAGTTCCACAGATTAACTCCATTTCTATTCAGGGTGTGGATACCAAGCAACTGTTTCCGATCCTGATACTCTGAAATGATTAAAACGCTTCATCAAGGAAAGAAATGCAAAAAAACATGACTTGAGGAAATTTCAGAGCTTTTTTTTTCTTGCTTTCACTTGAAGGCATCTTAAGTTTTATTCTCTGCATTACTAATACCGCACTGCAAATGTCAAAATAGAACTTTGTGTCTGGATTGGAATATTCATCGCCTTCTCTTACTGTTCACTGCACCCCCATTGAAAGAGCCAGAGAAGTCAGTGGTTCAGCCTAAAGAAGCACATCTTTAAAGAGCCTTGCTCTGCTATAAATACCCCTTGATTTTTTTTTTTTGTCACATTTTTGTCACACATATTGTGATGTTTTTTTTTCAAATGGAAAGAAAATGTTGCACAGCTTTAGAAGCTGTTGCAGATAAAACTAATATGATCTGTTCCATCACCTTATTCCTTGCACTCTATAAACTTAAGTTTCCTATTGACCGTAAGTTATAATCCCAATGGAATACAAAGAGGATTATGGTTGGAAATTGAAACAAATATGTTTTTAAAATAAATTTAAAACTTTAGAAGACATTAAAACAAATTACAGCAGCCAAAACTCAGGGAATATAACTAGACATAAATAATAAAAACAGCCCTGCATAGAGTTTAAAATAAGGTTTTAAAAAACAGCCACAGTTTGAATATTTTTCTTTAGTTTGGAGCCTTTGGCTTGGTTAGCCTCATTATTCTATTTGGTGAGAGAAAACATAGTTACTTCCTACAAGGTAATGCCAAACAGGCATAATGGGGAAGACAATGTGGAGTTATTAAGTGTGATTTAGAGAGTATTCCTAAAGGACAAGTGGCCTCGTTGTTGCGGATGCCTCCACACAGAAGCATACAGTGTGTCCACTGCTATCTGATTAGGGCCTGCCTCGGCCCAGATGAATCACCCATTCAGGCGTCGTCTTAGGAGAGCTCGGCGCTGCTTTATGTCTGGGCTGCCCGACAGCGGCTCCGTTAGGTACGCGTGCTCTGCTGTGTGTATGTGGGGGTGTGCTGATCTTTGATCTGAGGATCTTTGAAATCGTCATCCCATCCTGAAACATGACTGCCTTTTTTTGTGGGTGTGTTCGTAGTGTTGAGATTAAATACATTTAAGCGCCCCACCCCTTTTATTTATCTTTTAAACACTGAGCATTTTTTTTTAGGCTGCCCCCTCCCACCCTTCTGTTTCTTGCATGTTTTTTTTTTTCCTTTGTTCTCATAGAAGCTTTGCTCTGCCTACATCAGTCTGACTTTCATCAACTCTCTCTCTTTTCACTCTTTTGGTGAACTGCAGTGCCCCCCCCCAAAACCTCATTTAAGCACCGATGCCGCCAGCATCAGTGTTATTCTGGGCTGCCACAGTAACAGAGCCCTCCCCATCAGAAATCTTAGCCCCCTTCCCGACAGCTGCCTCTGCGTCCCCAATAGGTCGGGTGAGGAGAGCACCATTTTCCCCACAAGGTGCCAGTTCCCCCCCATCGGTCCGCTCCAGCTTGCGGTGCTTGCGTGGCTCTGGGGGCGTGTCTTTCTGGTTGAAGACGGAGCGGATTCGCTCCACGCAGATGTTTGCGGCCTCCCTGGTCTCCTTGGAGAGGTGTGATATACTGAGAAAGCCGTGGGGGAGGTCGTCCACGATGCACAGAGTGACGGGCTGCCCTACGCTTCTCAGACGCTTGGCAAACATGACCGAGTCGTCCAGCATGGGGTCCAACGCACACGCCTGAGACGACAAGAGAGGAGGAGAGGGGGGAAAAAAAGGGGGAGTGGATGATGAAAAACCCGTTTAAACTCCCTTCAGACATGTCAAGAATCTTAATTATGGGATTGAGGGAAGGAGCCAAAGCAGCCAAGTCTCTTTTGTTCATATTTTTTTTTTAAGTCTCGCTGACTCACTAAAGCCACTTAAAAATCAGGACTAGTTTTCTCTTCGTCATCTACCATCCTCATCAAAACACCGAGCAGGCAGTGACCTCAACAAACATTTCTTCAGACCCTTTTCTTTTTGTTTACCCCTATAAGCTTTATTTGATGAAGTGATAGTTAAATGAAAAATGCATTTTTACCACTATGTTTACAGGCGGCAGCCCCTTCAGCATGCTGTCAGGAGCCAACAGAGGTGAGCAGAAAGGATCCTTGACCACTGGAGAGGTCTGCATCTTCATTTCAGCGAGCTGCTCCGAGCGTAGAGGCTCAAAGCCCAGCGGAAACTCCCTGGGGTGCTCCAGCTCTGATCCTTCCCCTCCAACAGGGGGTGGAATGGCTACGGAGGACAGGTCATCGGACATGGAGGGGTCACCGTCCCCGGAGAGGAAGAAACTCACATCTTCTACCTATGGAGCAGAAGAAAAGAAAATATTCCACTTTGTTAAAACAGCTCTGAGAGGTCATAGAAAAAGAGTCAAGGGAGAGCAGACAGCTCTTTGTCCTTGTGAAAATATAAAACCGCTGGCAGGGTGCCTGAGTCCAGGCTGAGCAACCAGATTTCAAGGAGAGAAAGATTATCTAATGTCCGCATTACTTTTGGCCGGAGCCGTTACTAATTTAATCAATTTAGGACAAAAAAGGAGGAGGAAAAAAAAGAAATGCAACTAATAACCTGATGGATTGGAAGAATTTTATAGTTCTGGCCTGTTTAGAAAACTTTGGATACATCATAGATAAAAATGCCCCCCCCCCCCCCACACACACACACTATTAATGCATTACTTAAAACAGCCTTTTTCCTGTTGACATTTTTACTTACTAAACAAGAACAACCTTGAATCTATTTATGAATTCTCTCTAACTGAGCGCATGCCTGTCGTCCCAGAGTCTTCTAAAACGCAGGCATACGCTGAACGTTATTTGTATAATTCAATTCAATTTTGGGCGTAAACATAGAGTATTTATAACGAGCCCAGAACTTATGTTGAATGACAGCCTAACTTATGCATAACGCACGGCAGCGTAATGTCTTAGGAGAGCTGGAACAAATACGTTGATATGCGTCGGAGATAAGTTCTTGATAAGTTACGCATAATATACACGAGTTACTCATAGGGTTGGATTAGCTAGACGTTACGACTTATGAGTAACTTACACTTAATGTACATCAACAATCAGATAACTTACCTGGAACAAACTGCTCCACGTATGAGCATATGCTGGCATACGTCAAGACATACTCGCCATATGTCGACGTGTGCCAGCATGCGTCAGCGTGCTCTTAACTTATACAAACCGAATCCATAACTTATCTAACGTATGCCAGCGTTTTTGCCAGATTTTTCGTGCGTCAAACATACGCTGGCAAAATCGTCAAGGTGTGACGAAGGCCTTTAATTAGGGACAAATTTTTAAATGTAGAAAGGAATATAAACATACACCCCATAAATATTAAACTTTATTAGAAGTTTATAACCGTTTTTAACTAGAACTATCAAAACACCTTAGTGATGGTTTTCTGTAATTTCCTAAGGGACATTTTTTCCAAATATTAGTGGGGGGATGTATGCAGCTTGTATGTACATTTTTGAAAATACGAACCCAAGAAAAATGGCACAACAAATAAAAAAAAATATCAAATATGAATGTGTTTTTTTTAAATAATCACTGTCCGCAGCAAAAAAAAAATAAAAAATCTGTTCAAATAAATCAAAAGCACTAAACGAATGATATTCATGTACATGATTGGAAAGAGCCCTCTAAATCCCATGGATGTTTGATTCTTTAGCTATTCTAAAATCCATGTCCGTCTCTAATTCCAGATCAATAGGAGTGGGACCGTAACACCTCTGTAACCTTCATCAGTTATTAGTTATGTTCCAGCCTTGATTCCTACTTCCAACGCCAGAAGCTCTTTGTTTCACAGCATTAAAGTCTTCCTGATAAGAGCATCATCTAAGGGGAGGGTTAATCTCAACATAAGTAAGTTCCGGCGTGACATACAGTGTGCTCAGACATCAGCGAGGGACTCTGGAGGACGGAGCTGCTGTGGGAGCCCAAGTCCTGGCACGTCTTGCTCTTCACAGATAATTTCCTGCTGGGGAGCTGCGATGGCTTGTTGGGAACAGGCGGGTCGGCGTGAGGAGAGTTGATCGAAGCCGCCGAGACACTTTTCCTCACCGTATCTGAGAAACAAAGCGAGGTTTAAATCCTACTTTTAATTGAAAGAACAAAGTTCCAATGAAACTTTTTCAATTTTTTTAATATTTAACTTCACATTTTGCTGCATTATGACAATAAAACTGTAATTTCAAGGGCTTGTTTGAGAAAGACACAAAGTGGTGCATGACTAAAGTGGAAAGAAAATGTTTTATGGTTTTCATTCATCTTTTCCTGAAATTACAGCTAATCTCTGAGTTTATGTCTCTACCAGCTTTATAAACTAAAATATTTCCCATTCTTTTTGCTAAACAGCTCAGACTAAGTCCGATTAAATAGTGAGTCTCTTTTAATGTAATTTCTCAAGTCTTACAGATTCTGAATTGAATTTGGGTTAGAACGATTCATGATCCAAACCATTCTACTGTTTTTAAGTCATTTTCTGGGAAGTTTAACAGTTATGCAGCTTTTGGTTTTTTTTACAGCCTCTAACAGGGTTTCTTTACGAGCTGCACAATATTTAGCTACATTAACTAGCAAGTTTTCCAGTTCCCCCTGAAGTTACCACAGAATAATAATGTCCCCACCACGCTTTACACTGGTTATCGTTTTTGTTTGTTTTCTCCAAACGAGTTCCAAAAGTGCAGTTTTTGACATCATCTTTCATGTTTTATGTCTGTGAGAAACAGAAGATGAAATTCGTCACTTCTTTAATAAATGACTTCACAAAAAGTTTGCTTATGCTGATTACAAATTAAACACCTTTACTAATTGGCTGTCTTCAAAAGGCCTCGGTTAAAGCAGATTTTCTTGAATACAGTCAGAAAAATCACAGTTTTCAGTTCTTTTTTTTTCAGAAAGCCATTATTTCCTCCCTACTTTATAATTATTTTATACTTTGTGTTGGTGTCGTCACATAAAACTCCAAAAAAAATCAAACTTTAAAGTTTGTGTTCATAAAGTGACCAAATATATAAAAAGTTCCAGGGTCATAAATTAACAAATTTCTCCAGTGTGAGATTAAAAAGTTTCCATTAATTAATTAAATTGTTTTGTAATGCACTGCAGTATGTTTAGCTGGGATTAACAGTGGTTGGAGAGCCAAAGAAAAATGAAAAATAAGCAACACAGGATAATAAAGTTACTCCATCAGTTCTGCTTTTTAGACGTCCTCTGTTTGACAGCTAACAGCTAAGGGCCCTTAGTTGAAAATGGGAGCAGATCAGGAGAAAGATATAGGAAGTAGGAGGAGGAAATCCAGAAAGAGCCGTCAGTGTGATATCATCTACCCGCCCTGAGCTGTCCAGACGCCACCATTTGCCGTCACGCCTGGTCTCCCTACAAAGCGCGAACCCATCTCCTATTTTAATAATGAACCACCTCAGCAGCACGATGCCCTTCTATTAATACGCCCCCACCTGTGACACTCCCATTAGATTCGGCCTGCAGGCTGTAAGATTGTCACCCAACTAAGGTGACACCAATAAAATTACTTTTCCTCTTCAGATTTACTGTGGCTCTAATTAAAAATTACCGTCAAGGCTCTGATATGAATGGAGCTACAGGATTATTACTCAACAGATTGGATGAGGCCATAATTGGTTAGTTGGATGCTGTAGAACAGGGATCCACATCATTGACCTCCCTCCACTGGAGCTGTAAATAAACTTCAGTAGAGTAATGTCGTTTAAAGAGACTGAATAAGGCTGCAGAAAATGAAAGCAGCAAGAGGCTTTGGTTTCTCCTGACTGTGTGCAACTAAACACACCATAAACTATGCCCTTAATTCAAACAGCCTCTCTAAACCTGACATGAATCCCAGGAAGTCAGAGCTTTTACACATATGTCAATTAGAAATTCACAACTTTTCCAAAATTGTCTTTCATTTACTTCTATTGTAGAAAAATACAAAAGGTCTACAGTGGTTGGTGGGTGCTAATGCGCGATAAAATGATAAAAGGAGCGGCAAAGACTTGTGTGATACAAACTCCAAAACACGGCAAAACGCAACATAAACAACAAATGCTGTAACCGTAAACAAAATGCCACAAGCAAAAACAAAAATGTTGCAATCACAGAAAGATAATAATGCAAACAAGCTTGTTTTTATTGCTCCAGACCACTAGAGGCTGCTGAACAAATAACAAACCATATCAGACCAGGCCACATGTACAAACAAGAAGTTAAGATTTACAAAGTTAAAAAAAAAAAAAAAGTTGGAGGAAGAAATGGTTTCTTATCTTTCAATTCCTTTTCAATCAAATGCGTACATTATTACAGAATAAAAGCAGTTTTTTATACACTGAAAAAAATAATGCAACTGTTTTTGCATCTAATTAATTAATTAGTTAATTTAACGCCATTGTTGTTTTATGTTCTACTACGCTAACATAAAAAAAAAATTGTTAAAGTAAGTAAATAAGATTGAGTAGCCTAAATGCCTAAAAAAAATGGTTGTGTTATTTGTTTCAGTGTAGTTTAAGCTAGACTCTGGTCCAATATGGTTTGTTGTTTGATCGACTCCCTCTAGTGGACTGGAGTACTTCCGTTTTCTGAGCCAGTCTGCTGTTGTTTTTATTATTTGAATCGTTTCCTTTCTGTGGTTGCACCATTTTTTTTGTTTGAATGATTTTGTTGATCGCGGGTTCTTGCTCAGTAACTGAGATTTTTTTTGTTGGCAGCGTTTTTCTGTAGCATTTTTTTTGTGTATTCTCATGTCTACATGACACATATTTCTACAGCTTGCTTTGCCGTTTGCTGTATGTTTGCACCTGTCAACCACCATAGAGTTATGGAAGCCACAAAAACAGCAAAAGGTAAAATATAAAGAAGGAAAGGCCCGGGAAAGGAAGGCAGAACAAAAGAGATTGGATTATGAAAGGAAGGTTGGAAGAACACAAAAATGGAAGCAAAGAAGGGAGGATACATGAACGAAAGAACACAAGCAGGGAGGAAAATGAAAGATGGATGTTCACAACATTTTGATAACAGCAAAGGGAATTAAGTCTGGAAATACTTATTTTCTTTTTATTTTATACCTTCCAGACTGCATAGGAATCCTTCAACCATAACTCAGTTACTTTCTAAACTATTACAGCATGAATTGGAGAACTTTTAATGAAGTAGCTGCAATAATAAAACCCTTATTTATGCTTTAAATGTTTCCCCTTATTACACTCCTAACACACACAAACACAGAACACACCGGTTGTGGGCGTATCGGCGGCTGCTGGTGTTGTCTCGGCAGCTGTGTTGGAGGAGGCTGACGCTCTGCTGGGATCCAGCAGAGATTGGATCCAGTTGGAGGCTCCCTGTCGGAAATCTCGCAGCAGCAGCGCCGTATCTCTCCTCACCAGGCTCAACGTGCTCACTTTTTCTACCTGCTTCTCAGGCTGCGGCTCATTACCTGGAGGAGGAGACGCCAGCAGAGAAGATGGCAAATCAGCAATGACAGGAAACGCATGATCCAAGAGAGAAAAATGGCTTTCCAAGGAGATTCGATGCTGCTACCAAATTACAGGCAGTGATTCATATATGCGACAAGGGAAGGGAAGAGAAAAAACGTTTTCAAACAAAAAATGAAAATAAAGGTGCAATACAGGGAATATGGCAATGTTTCACCTTGTGTTCTGCCTCTTTACAGACGTCTATAGTTTGATGCTGTTTTTCTTTTTTTAAGAGATGAATTAATCAGAATGGGAAGTGAAACTAAACACCACAGAGAGGAGAACAGCTTGATGAGTTATGGGAATTCTACAGCATCAAAAGTTTTATCCTTGATCGAGTTTCACTTATTAAGGCAACTTCAGTCTGAGAATTTAAAGTGCATTTAAAAAAAACACAATTAGAGGGAAGAATGGAGGTTTTATGATAAAATATATTATAAAATTAAATAGAACAAAGTCAGCAAAAGATTGATCAAACTTTTGTCCTTCATTTCTTTAGATTCTTTCTCAAGCTGCATTTTTCTAATGTTTCTGATCCAATAGAGGACATGAAAAACCTACATGTTTGTAGAAAGAACGCATTCAGGGTAGGGATGCACGATATTGGGATTTTGGCCGATATCCGATATGCTGATATTTTAAAACTCATGTAGCTGATAACCGATATCGATACCGATGTTAAAGCTGGACAAAAATAAGTAGTCATTGAAAATAGCAGTTTTGTTATCCATTTCTGACACTTTGAAAAATAATATACTCAAATATATTTTCATATGCTGATATCAAATTGATTTTTAAAAACGCGGTATCGATCTATTTTACTTTCAAAATCTCGTGAAATTTCATCGTTCTGTTACAAACTCTCGTGATATTTTGCAAATTCTTGTGAGATTTTGTTAGTAAAATAGATCGATACCGCGTCAATATATCAACATATAAAAATATGGCAAAATTTCGTGAATTTTCGGTGTATTTTCGTAGCATAACGATGACATACAGCAACATTTCATTAGTAAAATAGATTGATATGGTGTTTTTAAATGGCAATATATCAGCATATGAAGATATTGTGATATTTTAATGTATCAATATTTTTTCCCTCGTCTTCAGAAGTTTTTAAGTCTGTAAAAAAGAAGTTTTTGAGGAAGAAGAAGTAGTATTTTTTATTTTTTTTTAGACTTTAGAAACTCAGAAGCTGCTCAAATATCGGGTTAAATATCGGTGGGGTGGCTGATGTCCGATATTCAGTTTTAAGGACGATACAGGCCGATACCGATAGGGGGCCGATTATATCGTGCATCCCTATTTCAGGGTTTATGCCACGTTTGCCTTTTGAACTGATTTAATCGTTGATGGCAAAAAACTGGACAAGGTGTCAGAAACAGTCCTCAGCGATTTGGTTCAAAAAAACGTGTTGGCTTCACACAGCAGATTATGCCCCACACTATTACACACATCTATGTCTACGGCTACAGGACTGGATGGTGTTGGTTTACCCATCTTTTATCTTCCACCCATAGTCAGCTTTTGCATGTTAAAATTTTCTAACTAGAATTTTTCCCAGGAGTTTCTATAGCATGTTTTTTGTTTAGAGGTTGTATCTACAATGTCTTATAGTAAGAAGTGTTTATTCAAGCTACTGTACCTTTCAGTCTTCTCAAAACAGTCTGACATTAAAGAAGCATTTTTTTTAATCACCATAAGTGTTTATTACAGAATATTTTCTCTTTCTCTTAAAAGTCTTTGTGACACATTTCCAGAATATCTGCAGTTTCTGAAGCGATCAGACCAGCTTATCTTGCCAAACCAACCATATCAGTTTCAAAATTACCTTAACCCTCTTTTCTTAATCGTTTCCAACCTGAGTTAATCATCTTTACCAGGTTTAGGTGCCTAACTACATTCCTTTAAACAGGTCCTGAAATGATTCTCATTGTAACCATGAGTAACAGAGTTAAGGAGTAAAAACAAACACAACTTTACCTGCGTAGGCACTGAGACACCTGGAGAGCACACTGAGCGGCAGCAGGGGGTCCATAAGTGTGAGCAGGCGGGAGGGCGATGCGTAGGCCGTCAGCAGCGTAGCCGGGTAGGCCGCCACGATGCCATCCGGCATCCGCACACCAGCCTCAGCGGCACGCATCGAAGTGGTCACACATAAGTTGCCTCCAGCGCTGTCACCAGCCAAACACACTCTCTCTCCTGTCCATCCTGTAAAGATGAAAATATTCATTAATGAAAGGATTTAAAAACAGAAAGTCCAGATTATTTTAAAGATCTCCAGAATGGCAAAACATCAGATATGATGGAGCTGCTAACAGACGTTTTATTGTTCACTGTTGGATTTTCTGTAGTTAAAACATCAACTAGACGACTTGATCATCACGGTTTATTGGACACCGTTTGCAGGAACATATAAAGTGACACACTGGAAGCTTCTCATGGCAGGAAAAGTTTCTTTTTATGATTATATTTTCACTAAACTTTACTAAACACAACTTAATTTTTTTCTGCTGATCTGAGTTCAAATTTTAATTCAGTTTTTGTTTCCTTCATTGGCAAATAAATTAAAGCACATTGAATCTTATTCTGTATCTATTATCTCTGATCATTTGAATCATGTTAAATAGTTTAATAGCAAACAGTTTTTTTTTTTCTACTAGTGGAAACATTTCCCCATCATAGCCTCTTTTGCATTCTGGGGACTTTTCCGAATTTCAATACATCTCATTACTTTGTTTTAAAGGCAGGAGGATCAGAGAGTTGAAACTTTTTTTTCTTTCCTATTAACTCCGCTGTGCTTCAGAAAATATCTCAGTATTCACATCGTCTCTCAATCTCCTACCAACATTCATGACTTTGTTTTCACTTTGACATGCACTTCCACTAGGAAACCTAACACTGATCAAAAAGTCTTGCTTCTTTATTAAACTCAAACTTCATCAAGGTCAGTCAACTTGGTTTCCAGAAGAATCTCCAGAAAACTAATAGAATCAGAGCTAATTTGAAACCAGTTTTATGCATCTGATGCGACAGAGGTAACATTGGCTTAAGTTAGAAAGTTGGCTTTATTTAGAAAATAAATAAAGAATGAGGAATAAATTAGGAAAACTACACAAAGTGATAAAAACTTTTCCAAGACAGCTACCAAAAAGATAATTATAATAAGACCGGAGAAGCATTAATAAGATATGATGCTCCTAAAACAACAAACCGATCAATCACCATAGTACAAGCTTTTGATACTAAATGTGTTAAATGTACTAGAAGAAGTGATTGCTGACAAATTTTTCAATCATATTTCAAGAAACAATTATTCTTCTATCAATTTAGATACTATTAAGACCAACCATAACTATAAAAAAATATTGTCCTTCATTTTTCTTTAAATTTTAAAATGAAGAAATATTTTCAACGAAGTATTTCATCATTGTCATCGTTAACGAAAACAACACTGGACAAAGTGAACTTTTATGTTTTGTTTGTTGATATGTTCAGCTATAATTTACAACTTTTTACATTTTGATTATAGTGCCCATATTATTTTAACCTTTATACTGCATGGAGAACCACACTTGTGACTAGCATTTTGGCTAACTAAAGCGCTTTTATACCCAAATTAATTCTTTTTTTATTTTATGATGCCTCTTACAAAAAGAAAAATGATTAAACATACTGAATTACATAACCATTAGTATTGTATGTAACATGTGAGATGCATGTACCAAGTAGATGGTGGTTTCTTAAAGCCCAACAGTAGGCATAGAAACATTCCTCCAGTGCCCGTGGGAAGGGGGCTTCAGGGGCCAGAGAGTAATCCACTGACAGGATAGGAACACCAAGATCCTGGGACCAGCTCTTCAAATAAGGCTGAGCAAAAAGATAAAAGCAGAGAGGTAAGAGGATAATAAAAAAGAAACATAATGTATTTGCTAAATTTATTAGAAACTGCAGCGGTGGACTGCAGCCAGGATGAAGGCATAAGGATAAAATGAACATTAAGTGCCCCTCTGATCTCATTTTTCTGCTTTTTTGGCTTCCAGAACAGACAATAACAGACAGAGGCGAGAGCTGCCCTCACAGTCCCCTCCATTTGCCCATTTTTAATACAGTAATAAATGCAGCTACTTGTCCTACTTTGCACTGTGTGAAGAAAGCCAAGATGGTGCTGTAGATTTACAAGGAGGGTCTGTAAAAACGGCCAGAATGCCGAGTTCTTCTCTTTTTGCCGATTATAGTCAGGTTAAATGTTTACTGTGCTCACATAGTGACCCTGATATGTGAAAACGCCTGTTCTCTCTTACCTCCATCTATCTTTAACGCTTTCAGACTTGCTGTGGCAGTGCTTTTCGTCAAAGTGAAAGATCTTTACTCAAACTGCCAGGGAAAATGAAGGTGTGTGCACGTCGGAATATCACAACCCCAACTTGTGATTTAGCATGAATAAAAAATAAATAAATAATATAAAAAAAAAAACAGCAGTCAGCTTGGGTTGTTTAAGCCCTAATCTGTCACACTAAATCATGGATCTGAGCAACAGAAAAGTCGGTGAGCTTGCAGAATGAGAGCAGCTTTGATTTAGACGGTGTGTGCGAGTCGGTAAAAGGTATTCCTAAGGTGAGGATGAACAACATCTTTCACTGACTGAGAGCCTACAATGAGCTACAACATGCAGCCGAGTGTGTGGCACAGTTGTCAGTCAGGGCAGCACATCAGCTGAATACCAATAAATAAATAAATAAAATGCTGTGCAGGCATAACACACAGGCCAGCGGGGAGAGAGGAGATGTGTATTCTTGTTGAGGTGGGATTGAAGCTGTTTAATTTTACATAACCTTGGAAACTCTTGGAAACGTACTCTTCTTGGGTTCCCAAAGAGGGAATTAATGAGAGCTCTGACTCACTTTAAGACAGGCAGAGCTGTTAATCTACAATCCTTTAAAACGGCTCCCCGACACTTGATGCTCTGCATAAATTGCTGAAGCTGCAGACGTTACAGCCGTTTCTGATCACAGCTTTGCTGCATACTGAAACCCGCCGCTGGCTCCAGCAGCTGAGGTAAAGCTGTGTACTCTGCTAGAGGACAGAACAGTTGTTGGCAAGGAGATGAGGGAAAACATTTGGTTTTGATTCTTAGACAAACTTTTCCTTTCTCAGCTCTCCCTTAAGGGTCCTTCCACACAGGAAATCGGACAGCAGACAGAGACAAAGAAAAGAAAAAGATTAGAAAAGAGGGAAGCATGTGGTGCCGAAATGTGACAAGAAGAGACATGAGGAAGGATACAGAGTGAACAAAGAGCATTTCTGAGCTTGTGGCTAGATGGTAGTAAAGAAGAAAAGAGTGAAGGACAGTCCAACAAATTTCCCTTCAGGATTTTGGGTCATTCCTACTTTCTTAATTCGACATGACAGCGCCCTCCCTTCACCCTTGTGATCGCTCTCTCTCGTCCACAAGTTACCATGCAGCTGCAGACCAAGGATGCTCATGTCTTTTGCAATTTCACAGCTCCTTGTCTTTTATGTTTTAACAGCTGTAAGCAGCTAAAGACCCCAAATAGACACAGATGGCCACGTCTACAGAGGATGAACAGGATCAAATCACTGGGGATACAATAGTCTCTTTCATGACAATGAATTGGGCAGGTAATTAATGTGCTTCTCCTGCAGTTTCATATAACACATGCTTCAATCAAATGTATTAAAGTAGAGATAAACTGATTCGATATCAACATCTGTATCTGTCCTGATGCAGAAAATTCTACATCAAGTATCAGTAAAATGGGCTGGATCCACAGTGGAAGATCTCCTGAACAGAATATTTAAAATATATACTGGTAGTCCATTTAAACCTATACAGCTGCATATTTGTTTTTTTTTAGGTTAACAAGATTTACTGTATTTATGACCTCCTTTTTTCGATGTATAATCTGAAGTTGCCTTTTGGGAAACATATTTGTTCAGTCATACATAGCATACTTGCTGGTAAAGAAGAGTTTGAAATGTTCAAGCTAAAATATTATTCCAATTTCTCCATTAAACGTTTTAAAAAACTGATATTTTGCTAAGATTATGTGTAACAGCGTTTGCAATTTTTAAACCGGTTTCATTCAGGAGCCACAGGATGTAAAGTACAGAGCTGCTTTGTCTGTTTGCTGCACATAGTATTATCAGCTGGCTGAAACAAAGCTTCTAATGCAAAGGTGACCTTTTTGCAGCATTTAGGATTCTCAGCTAAAAACCTCTACATCAAAGGATTTCTCTTTCATCATTCACATGTTTGTTGTTTGTTATAAATCCATAATGACTAAGACAAACATCTAGTTGCTAATAACCACAAGCGAGAGATTCATTAAACTGGCTAAGTGCAGCATTTTCACAAAGAGAGGGACACGTATCCAGTGAAAAAGGAAGAATCGAGAAAAAAAACAACCTTGCTCATTTGATTAATAAATTGCAGCATGTTTTTCTGATTGCTGAGCAGTTTAAGATAAAAAAGAAACATGATTTGTTTTTTTGTATAAAAAAAATCAACAAAAACATCTGAAGTTTGGCATCTAACCCCAAAATCCCACATCCTCTGTAAAGGGCCCTGCTCCGCTCCAGACGGCCTGAGTAAAGCAAAGACTACAGCCTCCGCTGTTCCTTCCGTCATGCTCCGCTCCGACTTCCTTAGAGCTCGAGGAGAGCATGCGCGATATTGTTAAATTCAAAGGTGAAAAACATGCAGAAATTAATGCTTAATAAGACATATTAAAAAATCCCATCAGCACCCAGCATATGTGCAGTTTCTGGCAAACATTTTCTTAAAGTTATCCCTGTTATTTTTGTAACAGGGATAACTTGGATTATACATGTATTAACTATGTTTGTTCTCTGGTTCCCAACTCACCAATAGATTGCAACCAATAATTTTATTAAATGGTCTTAGTTTTTGGGGGAATATATAAACGGTAGTTACCAATCTGTTGTTATATTTTAATTTGACAAACCAAATCTTCTCGGCGTTCTTTTTCCTTTTTGGTGCGAATGCAATTGCAGATCTTGACCTGGACGGACCCGAGAGGAGCAAAAGTGCTCAGCACGACGTACGTGAGCGTAGCGGAGCGGTGAGTATGTGGAATCTGGAGGTAAGAATGAGCTTAATACATTTCAACCCCAATATCTAAAGCTTTTTTACAAAAAGGAAAAACTATTCTGATTGAAATGTATCTATCACAAAAAACATCAACTATCTCTGTGTGAAAGAAAACAAGCAAGATACGTCAGTCTATTTAGGATCCATTGTTTTAAAACAACAGCAGATAAACTATGATAAAGCAGCAGATTGCAAGGTGGCTATCAGACCAATAAGCAGATTAAAACTGCAACCATAATCAGTGTTTATTACTTATCTCCCTTTATCAAAATTGAAATTATAAATAAATAAAATCACTGAAACTATTATATCACAAATTATTAATATAACCAAAATATTTTCTTTACTGCAGGAATCTGATCTGGAGCCGTATGTGTCCCTGTCCAGAGCGGCGAACAGAACCCATAACCAGAAGCAGCAATATGATCCACAGTAAAGGGGCATTTCTGTGTGCACTCTGTCACCAAATAAAGCAAGGACAGTGGTCTAAGTCTCAATTAAGTTTTCATAGAATAATTACAGCAATAATTAGCTTAGCAGGTCATTACATGCAGCACTACTGACAGAGAAAGGCAACCAATTGCCCCTCTGCTGTCAACTTGTATCTGTCATTTTAATTATCTGGAGTTCAATACAATTAGTCTGAGTAAACACTATTGAAGGAATACAAAGGTGAATTAGGCTGGATGACTGCTTTAATGATACCCGCTCAAATCTGGGAAGAGCAACAGCAGGGCAGCTTGTCTGCAAGGACGAGTGGTGATTTCTGTATTTCATATGTGTTGAAATAATTTATGCTAGTAAATAAATTAGTTATGAAAATGAAAAATAACTTTACAGTTTGTGTTTGAATTGAGGAGAATAACTTTTTTTTTTTTTTTATCAAAGTGTTTTCTGCAGCAGCATCACCTCACCTCATGGGATTTTGAGGTCTGGGCCACAAAGCCTCCCCCATGGAAGTGGATCAAAAGGCAGGGAGAAGAAGGGAGGCGCTTGGTCTTCAACCCCAGGGATAGAGAAATAGCACCTCCCTCAGATCGACACAGAGATAGCAGGGTTTCACTGTCCTAGAGAGAAATAGCCATAAGATTAACAGTTTTTTTTCCTTCTAAACATCATGGATTTCTTCATAATCTTTGCCCAACACAAATAAAGTGTATGCATAATGTATGTGCTGCACACAAAGTTAAGTTTCTGAGCTGATGTTTTTGCTACTAGAGTTTTCAGCAGTGCTCCTCAGAGAGCCGGATTAGCTGGTTGCTCTGAAGCAGCCCGTTGCCAACCTATCCTGTGCCAGCAGAACTACACAATAATTCTCATTTATCTACAGGAACAAACGTCTTGGACGGCTGTAGACTTGGATTCTTTGAAAATAAAACAATACAGTCACGTTAGGGCATTATCACTAGCTTAGGATGTTTGTTAAAAGTATTTCTTGGTTTATTCGCAGTGAACAAAAAGGAAGATCAAAATTGAAAGGAGGCTGGATGTCGCCTAAATTCATTAAAATGAGAAGTGGTAAAAATGACTGTAAAATTTCAACCAAAGAGAAATTTGGCTCAAGGATTAACAGGGTAGTTAAATACTGACTTAAGTACCTGTCCTTCACGCAACTCATAAGATATGAGTCTCATCTGAACAGGAGCAGTGCCGATGTGCGCAGAAGGTGGCTTTATCGTCACCGACATTCTGTGGTTGGCAGCTAGAGGAAGATCGAAGGCCACAGGAGGAACGGAGAGTGCTCTGTTCACCTTGACTTGAGTAGAGGTCATACTGGCAAGACTCTGGAGGAGGAAGCAACAGCAAATACAGAACAATAAAGACGGGTCACTGGAGAGAAACTGGATGAATAAATCATAAATAACCAAAGATCCAGTTCATTTCTTCCATTGTTAATTATGCCCTCTAGGCAAAAACACAGAGACAGAAATGTGATCTTCACCGAGTTGTAGATATCTCATGTGGATTACAGATGCCTTCGCATGTGAACATGTGTGTAATAAGAAATATTAGCAGAATACCGACCGACAGAACCTCCGTCTCTGTGATGTTCCAGAAGGCCTTCCAGAAATGCACATCCAGGTTCTGAGTGATCCGTTCGAACTCTGCCCCTCTCAGCTCCGGGTCTATGGCGTACTTCCCAGAGGTAAAAAAAGAGCTGGCTGCCACACCTGGGAAAAGGACGAAGGCGAACACATGGGGAACATAGATGGATGAGTTCATGTGAAGCACAGGGCAGGACCAGAATAATGAAAGGGGTCAAATATGTAGGAGCAAAAACAAAGGGAAAGAACCAAAAACATAGAAATATGCAGGAAGAGTGACTAATAATGTAAGAAGAAACGTTAACAAAAAAGTAACTAGGACTCAAAAAACATCAGAAATAGAGAAAACAAAGAGCTGTTGCGCCTAATTTAGTGAAATGTATCATTGTGGCAGAAATAAAAAATAAAACTCTTGTTCCAAAGCCAGCTTGTAAAAAAATGTCTCCTAATGCTTGGAGTTAATGTGATGTTTACTGTGGGTCATTTAAGGAAGGATAGGGATATACAGTACAGGTACATCTCAACATCTCATCAGTTTTAGTGATTCAGTATAAAAATAAATTTCTGCTATAGGAGCTATGAATGAATTTTTCAATTTACCATGAGATGAACTATTTTTTAATTTAATTATTAACATTTAAAGACCTGAATATTGTGTAAAACCTGTAAGATTAGATTTTTAAAACATGAACTTTAGTTTATGGCCTTCACAACCACCACCCTCCATATAAAGAGGGCAAGAGGTCACTGCTAAAGAAAACGGTTCTTCTTATTGCTGCTTTCCAGGATATTTATAGTGTTGAGTGGAAGAAAAAAGTGTAGCAGAAAGTGAAAAAGAGTAACCACAGCATTGAGAGAATTAGAAAAGCAAAATCAACTGAACACCTTCAGGAAGATCATAAGCTAATAGCTCACAGAGCTAGGTTAACCACTGCTGTTTGCTGTGTTTCATTTAACAGGACTCTTCAGAGCACTTTATTTTAATTTCCCACAAGCTGTATTAAGAAGTCGATACGGTTATTAGTACCACTACCTGCGTTAATGATCATATCACTGTTTTTAAACAAACATATTTACCATGAACGTGCAGAAAACCTAGCTTTGCTAAGAGAAAGTTAGGAGACCCCAAAATAGAGATGAGTTTAAAGCTCTGTTACATCCTTTACATCCCAGCATCAGGCTGATCACCTCCCCAAAGCAGAAATTAATGGAGCAACCAGAGTGGAAATACTCTACACTCATTTTAAAAATGTAGAGTTTAGTAACCAGAAAGCTAAAAATGGGGGGAATAAAGAGTTATATCATTAATCGGTATATCATTAATATTATTGTTAGAAATTAATTCCCATTAGTTTTTCGATTGTTTACTAAATTATTTTCTTAATTCATCAAGTTTAACCTGTAGATTTTATCAAGATTATAAGCATTTCTTTCAAAGTAAAATGCAAAAACATCTAATGTTAAAGTTAAGGGAATAAAAATATTTAGGATAACAGAAAGTTTGGTCTAAAAAGAAAAAAACAAGAACATAAGAAATACAACTCAAGAGTAATGTGAAGGTCTTTCAACTCAATAAAGAGGTAAACAATGAAAAGGTTCTAATACAGTACACTCACCATATGGTGCAATACTTCCTGCGTCCACTGGGATGCAGCAGAGAGCACAAGAAACCATCAGAGTAGGACTTTTCCCTTTTTAATTACTCATATGTGTGTGTTTATATATATATATATATATATCACAAGGTTGTTCAGTCTCTGCTCTGTATTTAAAAGTTTAAAACAGTTTGAAATATACAAGAAACACTCCAGCAAGCCCTTAAGATTGCAAAAGGATGAAAGAGCATCTAAAATTTGAACACACAACATCAAAAAGGTACACGGTCTGGGAGCCAAGCAGGAAAGCAGAAGAGACGTGAGGATGAATGCGGAGGGTGCTAGAATGAGAGCAATGTGGATTGGATGATGAGGCAATGCTAACCTATTCCTGACTGGTGGCGCTTATAGTTTTCTCCAAACGCCACAAGCCCGATAGCGATGGTCTGAAGACAAGGCCGGATGGCTGGAGTGAACTGGAGAGAGAAAGCAATAAAAGAAAACAAACAAGGAGTTTATATTGTATTCACAAAACAGAAAAAGAGCAGCTAGCATTGAGTTTGGCTGCGAGAATACAGATAAACTTTATCTTTTTTTCCTTAAGTTATTTTTGCTACCTGTTCAGTAAGGTTATAGTAGGCTTAAATAAGTACAGAAGCAACCAACTCTTTTTTTAGCTCTCAAGACATCTGGATTATTGATGTTTATTCATTTATAATTCATGTTAATATCCTTACATCAGAATCAAAAATGAAGTTTTTTTAAAAATTGCTTTAATGTGGATTCAGAATAAAACAGTGTTATCACCATAATTCCTATCCTTCCCATTTCCCATCACTTCTTTTTCTAGTTGACAAAATGCATTTAACCTCATCTCACCTGAAAGCCCAGGCAGCGCCCATAGAAACATCCTTTGTGCATGGAGGCATATTCCCGCACAAAACTCTCACTGAGTCCACTCTCATCCTGGAAGAACAGGTTGCCATGGCCGTTGTCGTGGAGCATTCGCTGGGCCAGGTAAAGCAGGGCCCGCAGCTGACAGAGCGCGCTGCAGTAAGCTTCCATCTCCCCGGCGTTGTGGGCTACACGAAAGAAGATGCTGCGGCGGTTGGCTGTTATGTAGCGCCCCTTGTGGATGATGTGGAGAAGACAGCAACGCACAACCTGAAAATAAGTATGACAGGCAGGTGAAAACTTTAGGGAATATTTACAAAAATACTTTGGATACCTGGGCTGAGCGTATCAGCAGATATTCAATACCGACCTGATTAGACTATTGAATGAATGAACCATACACCCTGTCATGTGAGAGAAGGCCTTAGCATTGACATAACCAACAAACATATGAATGTACTTTATATTATTTACCAACAAATGAGCAGCAAAAAGAAAGAACAGCTCTATAGCCCCATTTATACTACCTTTTGGAAACAATGGTGATAACAGTCTGAGCACGGTAACCAAGATAACTGTTGAGTATAAATGGAACGAAACTGATCTGGATTGTGCCAGACACAACGGCTAAATCTATTACTAGTTCAACAGTAGGGCTCGGCACGGTTCGTCTGTGGCTGTTCTCTGATAACAAAGAGTGTATGAGCAGACAGCGTCATCTCTTTATTTTGCGAGTTTTGCAATTCACAGATCACTTCACCTGTTCACAACACAAACTTCTACTCAGCTTATTAAAAATAAATGGCATCAAAAGAGCGTGGTGTGACATGGGATGATGCAGAGACTGAGGCTCTCATTGAAATTTGGGCGCAGGACGCTATCCAGGCAATGAATTTCTAAATGTTATGGTTGCAAGCATTTTTTTGTTTGCATAATTCCTGCCTTGAGAGCTGTAATATCATGGACCTTCAATAGGAGGCAACAAACCGTTAGCGTGATGTGTAAATTGGGGTAAGAACCAAGCTTGACATGAATAACTGATCCAAGTCGGTCCGAAAACGGCATGAATCAGTTTCAGTGGAGTACTGTAAATGGGGCATATGTTAAGTGTGTTGGATTGGATCCCCAATATCCAATATCAAATCACAGATATCCAATCCAGATAATTAGCCAATATGAGAGCAGATAAATGATCAGGTATCGGATCGGTGCATCTCTACTTAAAATATCAGAAAGAAAAGCTTAATCTCACACTCAGTCATCTGGGTCATAGTCATTCCAAAAAAGTAAAAAAAAAAAATCCACTGGACTTTGTTTCCAAGTTAGAAGACATTTAGATTCCAATACAGAAGCTTTTTCAATAAAAAAATGACAGAAATAGCGTTGAGTTTGAAGCCTTAAAGAGTTAGCCAAAAACAAAGCCTGGTTTTGGCTTAGAAAATATGCAAACTGAACCAGACGAATGGGTCCGCCCCTTAGAAATAGGTCATTTGGTTTCTTTGGTAGGCTGCAATGCCCAATACCTGTCTATGTCTTTGAAAGGGGATCGTCAGAGGGAATCGTTGGCCTGGCTGCATAGGAGAGGTGTTCTGCTCCCCTGTAGGGGGGTGGGGGTTGCGATGATAGTGGGAAGGAATCAAATCCATTGCTGCATTTTAGGTTTTTGAAAGGTGAAACCTGAGTCCACCTTCTCTGTTCTTTTTTAACTTTTTATTTAAAGTTTTTTTTTACTATTTTGGAATAAGCTTTTGCCACCAAATCAATTGAACTTGACCACTCTAACACATGAATATGATATCAACCAATGAACTACATCTCTAGCTGTATGTTAAACATTGTCGCTATGCTCGTAAGAGAACCACTGCCTCACTTAAAGTCTTTTAAAACAGGCTTCTTAATGGTATGCCTTGTGTTTATCTCCAACTTTACTCTTCCATCGGAGTTGTAGAGATCTGCAGCTCCTTAACTTTTCCCTTGGGTCTCCTTTAGGTGAAAAGCTAAGCCTTCCCCATTTTTATTTTTGAGTAACTTAACTTTCTGTTAGATAATCAAAAGCCTTGTCTTTAAAGTGCTTTTAAATTACAGAATTAGACTATTCATTAATTACACTGCTGTTAAGAAACAGTGGTTTGCAGTTGTAAGAGAAATCATAAAAAAAAAAAATCAAACACTGTTGTGAGCACATGGGAACGTGTTAAGAAAAGCAGCAGGAGAAACACAAAGATCAGAGGGATCATTAATGTTGAAATCATGGGGTTGGAAAAAAGGGGAGCATACATTTTGCTCCCACATTTAGTGCCCCGACTGAAGGTCATGATGTTTTATTGACGAGTGTCCAAGATTAAAATACATCGGATACAGTATTCGTGGGCATATTTGCCGTTGGAGGATTTATCTCCCCCAATTTGAAACATAAAAATCAATCTCTCCAACAAATGTGCCGACCTTGAAACAAAGCAATACCAAGTCAGAGATGTAACAGTCAGTGTTTCTCACCAGGGGAGGGAATATTGATATGAATCTACTGTAGTGGTAAAGATTTTTATCCCCCCAGCTGCACCAAGTTGGAGATATGAAAAACGAATTTAAGATTTGAATCCTGCAGACAAAAAACCTTTGAAGCACGGCGTCTTACCTTCACCAACGAGCGGTAGCCATTAGCGGGTATGTGTGGGTCAAAGTCGAAATGGTGATAAACGGCAGCGAAGCCAGAAATAACTGGTTCCAGACTGCGAGCGTGCTCCTGGATCAGCTTCATGGTTGCCACCAGCCGTCGGACTGCATCCCCCTGGGTCCCCTTGGCCCCGGCCGAGAAGAAAGTGACATTTTCTTCACACACGCTGTACAGGGCCGCAAACACCCCCTGGGTGTCCATCACTGAGAAAGTACATAAAAAGGCAGATTATAAATACAGTTCTCAATCTATGACACTGTGCGAAACTTTTAATTCAGTTCCCATACATCTATAAGGAGTGTATTCCTTCTCTCCTCCATTTTAGGAAACAGACCCGTTTTGTGACATAACAGGATATAAAAACTTAAATGAAAAAACTTCAATTGCAAAAGTTTCTGTAGAGGTTAAAAAAAAGCTCATTAGCTTGGTCTTGCAAGAACTGCAGGAGAACATCCAAGAAAAACAATGAGCCAAGAGGGACGTCACTGGAATTATTCAACAAAAGGTTCTTAGTCTGGATAACTAAGCCCCTATAGCCTGGTGCACAGAGACTCCTGGGCTGAAATGTGTTAAACAAGGCTTGAAATTAAACGATGTAAACCCAGGCTAAGCAGCTGAAATCCCCACAAGATCTGCATGGAACAGGAGGAGAAAGCAAAAGCCCTCCACTAACAGGTCGCTGCTGAGAACAGATTGGTTAAAGAAAAAAACGGGGGGGAAAAAAACGAAACATGCTAACATGCTCAGGCAAGACTCCCGCACAGCTTGGTTTGTTTATCCAGTAGGCTCATATCTCTATGCTAACAGAAGACTGTGATACAGCACTGTCTGTCACTGTTGGACCGTGTACCTCTGCGAGTCATCTGAGGATGCCTGTTCCCATGACAACAATGGGAACTAGCTCTTTGTTACTGTATCGATGATCGGCATGCAAGAGACGGAGTGAGACATGAGTGAAGGCACCATTTCCATAACAAACTCAGATCTCAGAGGAGAAACATGTTCTGCATCAATTTGATGAATAACTTGAAGTTAAAAGTTGTAGACGGACATAGGAGTAGTTAAACAACAAAGCTGATGGCTAGCTGTTAGTGCTAAAAAACAAAATATGCAGTTTTTAATGTAATCGCTGTCTTGCGTTTACCATCAAGAGCTACAAACCCAAATACATTTGAAAAGGTAAAGCAGTGAAGTAATAAAATATTTGAAGTAAAAAAAAAGAACACAGTATATATATCAGAATCAGAGAAACTTTAATAATCCCAGAGGGAAATTACACATATAGGCTGATTAATTTGGGGAGAAAAGCTAAATTCTTCTAGTACAGTAAAATATTGTCCTTAGGTTCACAGGAAAAATGTAACTATAAAGGTCACTATCGTTTAGTAATGAAATTCACTATTTCAGTGTGCTTAGAAGTCAAATCCCCCTGACACCTGGAACAGGAAATTAATCAAAAAAACAATTTCTCAAAACAGGAGGCTCATTTCCGTTTTTCTCCAGGCAGCTTTTTGATACATTTCCAGAAAACCAACAAAAAAATAAAAATACTGTCACTATCAGCCCGACCAGCTGAAGGAAACATTCAACAGCTTATTTATTCCATTTGGCTGGAAATAAAAGCCAATTTTCTGATTTAATAACATGAAAAATAAAAGAAAATCTGTAAATAACCCCAGGCTCAGAAAACATTCTACCAAGCCTTGGAATCTGTAAATGTATCTGGTCTGACTGCAGACAAGTGTCATCTTGAAACGTTTTCAGCGACTGCTGTTGCTCATTGTTGCAGAAAAACATTGAGCTGACTATTCAGAAGCTTTTCCAGGACACTAAGCTGCTGTCTTTATAATACAAAGCTGTCGATGTGTAAAAGGTCCTTGATATAGTACGATTAAAGTTTACTCTAATTGCTTAGAAGTGGTTGCACAGCAGTTTCTGAAGCAAAAGTATAAAGTCTAAATGTGTATCTCACACCATTCTCTGCAGATGCCAGATGAGTCGAAAACACTCCAACAAACAGACGTTTCTGTTTTCAAGAATAACAGAGCCATGGCTATAGCTGTTATCAGTGTCTCTGCCAAAAGTGTCAAAATGGCCCAAATCTAAACTGAGAAGTAGCAAAAAAAAAGCTAAGTTAACAAAGAGGCAATAAATATTTCAGGGGGCATCCTAAGGGAATTTGATTTGATTTGCCTTTTCGGCTGAATTATTTGTTAAGGTTTTAAAGCTTTCTAGGAGTTTAAATGACAGCTCTTCTAAAGGGAGATTTAAGTAGTGGGAATATGAAGTTTTCCTCTTGTACACAAAAATAGAATTCAACTTACCTTAGCATCAATTTTTATTGGTTCGTTTCAAACTCACTTCCCATGTGAAACGACTTCTTTATGTAACAAGTTCATTCAGTGATTTCATGCCAACCTTCTTAACTACAGAGGCCCTATTGAGCCCAAAGCTTAAACCAAGTTAAACCTCAATCTAACCAAAGCTCGATGTAAGATCTCAGAGGTCACTGTGGTTTGAGTCATTAAATGTTTCTCCTCTACTTTGGTCGACACATCATGGGTCAATTTGCCTTTAAATGTCAACTCCTACATTTTCTTTTAGTGGTCCCTAACTTAAAAATAAAGCTTACTAAAACAGAGCTGAGCCATGCAGGAGTGAAATAAATGTACATATTTTGCCTAAAAAAGTCTGACAGATAGAGACACAGCTGGGGTGGGATGTCTTGTAGTCTCTACTGACTCACTCTAGTGTTATGCAAGCATTAGTCATATGAATTCATTACAGGGATCAATGACTGAATCCTATAACACTCTTGGTAGTTCAGTAGCTTAAAGGAATAGTACACCCAAAACATGATTAGCCTTCATTTTCTACTCACCCCCATGCTGAACAACACTCTGGAGTACTTTTTTGATATCTCAAATGCATCTGGAGATCTGGGAGACTTCTTGCTGTCTGCTGACATTCAAATAATGGAGGTCTATGGCGCCCGAGACAGAAAGGTCCACAAAAGTCCACAAAAACTTGTCAATATTCCTCCATACTGCTCGTCCAATGTAATCCAAGTGTCCTGAGTGGGTAGCATCCAGAATTTACTCGAAACGAAGTCATTTAGAACGTTTTAGAGCCTAAACAGTAGTGTATAGGATTTCCTAATAGCGCCCCCATGCGCGCTCACGATTCTACGGAAGCCGGCAGACCAAACCAGCGCATTCAGCTCGGCAAAGAACTCATGCTCTTCCTCAACACTGAAGTCCTCAGACATTTTTCTTTCGTTGTTTCTTTCTTTGCACAGGTAAACAGCACATTTCTTCTTCTACGCTTGCATTATCGGCAGACCAGACGCTGAATGCGCACTTCCTTCCGGTTTGGTCTGCCGGCTTCCGTAGAATCGTGAGCGCGCATGGGGGCGCTATTAGGAAATCCTATACACTACTGTTTATGCTCTAAAAACATTCTAAATGACTTCGTTTCGAGTAAATTCTGGATGCTACCCACTCAGGACACTTGGATTACATTGGACGAGCAGTATGGAGGAATATTGACACGTTTTTGTGGACTTTTATGGACCTTTCTGTCTCGGGCGCCATGGACCTCCATTATTTGAATGTCAGCAGACAGCAAGAAGCCTCCCAGATCTCCAGATGCATTTGAGATATCAAAAAAGTACTCCAGAGTGTTGTTCAGCATGGAGGTGAGTAGAAAATGAAGGCTAATCATGTTTTGGGTGTACTATTCCTTTAACAACAAACACACATGCATGGTTCCAAGAGTGCTGCTCTACCTCAGAACTTTAGCAGAGGCCGGGGGTTTATAGTGCTAAATGCATATTGGACAAGTAATGTAAACAGCACAATTGTTTATATCAGCAAAATTTGCCAAGAACATCTATAGAAAGGCTATTGCATTTTCAGCAGGGTTGTCTTTGTGGATACAGTGACTTGTCCAATCAAAGAGTTGCCCCAATGTCACCACTGAAGTCAAACAGGCTTGGGCTCGCAGCCAAAATACAAATTACATATTTTAATTAAAGCAGGGGGATGCAGCTTTCTCATCACCTCTCTCCTCTGAGGATGGCCTGATGTTGACAGAGTAAGCCAGGGATGAACTTTACAAACCCAGATCAGCATAAGCGGTTCAGAAACTTAATAACACTGAAGTCTGCAGACATTACATCCCTATCTAACTTCTGCAAGCATATCACATGCAAATACTATGCAAATGGAAAACCGTTTAGGTGAGCTGCTACCATCTCACCAGAATGCAAAACACATCATAATCTTTTTTTTTGACAAGAGGTGAAGCCTCAGGCCACAACAGCTGTCAACCTACTCTCATATAGCAGAAGAAAAACATGACTCACCTCTTGGCCTTTTCAACTCTTTGGAGCCTTTTGAGCAATGAAGGAGGTCTGCTAATGAATACTGTTTGCTTTTGTGCTTTAATGACAGAAGTAGTCACTATAAGCCCACAAGTGCAACTAATAAGTTGTACCTGGTCTCTCCACATTAAAGATGAATGACAGTGGGCATTAATAAGACATGCACAACAACTAATACCAGCTACATTACTCACAATGACTTCTAAGGGGCAAAAAGAGAGCTTACTACTGACATAGAACACAAATGCATTAAAAGAAAAAAAATGCACAGCAGGAAAAATTGGTTAGAAATGTTTACCAGCGTCTGAGTTCAATGCTTTGTCCATGTCAGCCTCCTCTCTTCCATGAGAGCAATGAAAGCATGAAGAAAAAGAAAAGATAAGGTAAGGAAGTTTTTTTTGTGTGGTTGTCTAGACCTGTTGCTTCTTCACTGCGTGAGTCATGGGTTCTCTGTAACATCTGTATGACAGCATGCCATATTTCTACTTGGAATCAACCAGATGTCCTACCCTATAAACTGTTAATCCCGCCCATCTACATTTAAATACACAGGATGCCTAGCAACAACTCCATTCCAGTGAACCGTCTCCCCTGTGACAGAGGGCTATACTGCCATTGGCCGGTGAGCTTGCAACACCCTGTGAACTTTAACTCAGCTGGCAAAATCCCAACAGTAGGAAAGATACAACAGATATGAAACAAAAACAGTTTCAAATGTTTTTCTTAGATTTATATCATATTTTTAAAAGGTTACTAAGAGTAACAAGTGTAACCCAGAGGGAGTTGAATCACCAGGCAATGACCAGGCAAAAGTAGTCCTAACCTTTGATTGTTTTCACATTTTGTTGCATTTCTACCACATACAGTCTGTTATTAAAATGACACACGATAGGCTAAGACAGAGGATTTCAACCTGGAGAGACTTAAACACAGAAAAGCTGCAATTACAAAAGTATTATTCAGTTCATTTATACATGTAACACAATCATATTCTTCAAAAGGAAAAACAGCTGATTGTATGGACTTAAGGACTCTCTGCATTCCCTCGCACTGAGCATGCATGTAGCGACAGCGGAGAGGAAAACTCCAGCAGAACCAGGCTCAGTGTGAGCGGCCATCTGCAGAGGCCGACTGGGACTCAAGAACATGGAAGCAAAAAATGACATAGGGTGGATTCCCAGCATTTAAAGGTCAATGCAAAACATTCTGAGATGCTCTAATAATGCTCTAATTTTTGGACACTATTTCAACTTTTGTTTTTGTAATTTGAGGTCAAAAGTTTTTTAATACTGCATTTTTTTAATCATCACATAAGAGCCCTTTTTTACTTTACATTTTATCTAGTATTGTCTGTTTTTGCTTTATTTCTTGTTTGGTTGCTGAGATCTTGTTAAAGGTCTAATACTGACACCAAAAGACATGATGTGGCAGTATCATTTGTGAAAAGCTTTGAGCTGGTTAAACTAAAATGTTTTAAATCTGAATGAGTATATCAGCACAATTTTATGCACTCTATTGTTTTTAAGGTAATTTAAACATATCGTGATATATATCGTGAATAGCGATTACAGCCCAAATATATCGTGATTTTCTATTTTCTTCATATCCAGCCCTATAATGTCATAAATGAAATAAGTTATTTGGCCGTCGGGCCCCGGCAGAAAACTCTGATGCTGTCAATTAACATTTGCCTGGATGAGTAAAATAGAAAAGCATTAGAGCAGTCTTCCCTCTGGGCCCGGACACTGGTCGTGGAATAAGCCAGTGGGTGAGTTGGACTGAGAAAAGTCTGAGAATGAGGGAGGAGATTGGCTAGGAGGTGGGTAAAAGTTCACTAGGCCAGGAGCTAAATGAAGGGGATCTTGAAAGATGGTTGGCTTTTGAGAAGGTACACCCGAGCTGATTGGCTGGAGCTGAACGAGGGACATCACAGGTAGTTCAGTTGAAGCTGCTAAGTCTTCCAGACTGAATTTGTGCTTAAGCTTCATTTAGAAGAAAAGCACTGTTCAACCATTTAAGTTTGATGTGTTCCCAACATTGGTTAGGTTACATTAAAATGTAACTTTTTAAACTACAAGCAAAATTCTGCATGTGACAGATAGCTAATAATGTACATCGAGCCACTATGAGTGCTAGACCTGTAACTTCAATGCTTATCCACCCTGAAAGTAGATGGCAAAACTGTACTGTCACAAAATGAATCAGTCAACATGTGTTTTGAAAACTGATGGCAAATGACTTTAGACAAGATTGAGGAGGTCAGCTTGCAAAGGTTTAAGAAAGGTAGAGAGGGTTGCAGCTAGCTTGAAGATCCATGCATGCAAGTAGAAGTAAACACTTTTTCACACAGTGGTTACCATAAAATCCTGTAACAATGGACTCTGGGCAAGCAAGCTCTCAAAACCTGAAAGCAAATTTAGAGTTTTGGTAAAATCATTCAGTCCTAGACAGCTCTACAAGAAATCTGTGTACGCTGTTTATTAGCAAGAAAACAAACAGAAAACGTGGATACTGAGATGATTAGTCTCTTAATGCAGAACAATTCTGGAGTCAACTCTCCAGCTGAGTAACAACCCTATACATACATCCAGGGCATTAGAATGGTCTAGTCAAAGTACACACCTAAATAGCATGAGGAATCTATAGAAAGACTCACAGCCTGGTGATTCTTTATCAAGTCTTCAACATCATTAACCGTTTGGGCTATTATGGGCTACTTAGCTCCGGTCCACCACATAAAATCTAATATAAAACAATATGTGTGGTTTTAATGTGACCAAATATGAAAATGTTCAAGTTGAGAAAAGACTCACCTTTGCTGTATAAATATAACTAAATCCCAAAAAAAGCTTTGAAACAAGAGGTGAACAAAAAGGAAGCCAGAGTAAAAAAAAAAGATGCAAACAAGTCAGTTAAAGTCAGAGAAAACCCAAGAACAAGTCAGCTGTAAATATCGTAGCTTAAAAGATCATCATAAGAGCATTACCTTTTTCCCATCTGTACCTTTCTTGTTTCAATCGATAATCATCTAATTGTATAATATTGTATATTATATAACAGTGCCCATATTAGATGTTGAGTTTGACTCTTATAGAACCTCTGACCAAATAATTATTTATAATTTTAGAACAAAATTAGTAGCATGTGCCAACTGTTGGGAAATATGAATGTGCACACAGCAAACACATGGAGCCTTAAAAAAAATAGAAGAAAGTACTTTTGAAGATATTCCGAGGAGAATTTTCCAGTGGAAAACATGATCTCGGTGTAGACTTTTTGGCTGATACAACAGCTGACTGTTCCATAACTCGAAGGAGGGAGATGTGACCTCTCAACCAGAAACAAAAATGAACAAACAACACCATGACACCAAAGAAACACAGTGTTTACTTAGTACAGTTATTATTACCAAACACATCAAAGGAATTTTTCATAATAAATAATAATAATAAACAATAAATGGCAAAGAGAGTTGCTGTGTTGACTTACTGTAAGAGTACACTGTCCAACTGTAAAACTAAATTCTTAATCAGACTGCAAAATAAGCTTTAGCTGCTACTATATGGGTTAAAAAGATTTATAAAGTAAAAAAAAAAAAAGTATTGTAATTTTTGAACACTTTGGAAAAGGTGAAAAAAAAAAAACTTCAGAAAAATTGTTGCAGGCCATAAAAGACTTTGGTTAAAAGACCCTTTGTATCTTAAAAAAAATTAGGGATGCACGATATTGGGATTTTGGCCGATATCCGATATGCCGATATTTTAAAACTCATGTAGCCGATAACCGATATCGATACCGATGTTAAAGCTGGACAAAAATAAGTATTCATTGAAAATAGCAGTTTTGTTATCCATTTCTGACACTTTGAAAAATAATATACTCAAATATATTTTCATATGCTGATATCAAATAGATTTTTAAAAACGCGGTATCGATCTATTTTACTTTCAAAATCTCGAGAAATTTCATCGTTCTGTTACAAACTCTAGTGATATTTTGCAAATTCTTGTGAGATTTTGTTAGTAAAATAGATCGATACCGCATCAATATATCAACATATAAAAATATGACAAAATGTTGTGAATTTTCGGGGCATTTCGTAGCATAACGATGACATATAGCAATATTTCATTAGTAAAAGAGATTGATATGGTGTTTTTAAATGGTAATATATCAGCATATGAAGATATTGTGATATTGTAATGTATCAATATTTTTTCCCTCGTCTTTAGAAGTTTATAAGTCTGTAAAAAAGAAGTTGAGGAAGAAGAAGAAGTAGTACTTTTTTTTTTTTTTTTAGACTTTAGAAACTAAGAAGCTGATCAAATATGGGGTTAAATATCGGTGGGGTGGCCGATGTCCGATATTCAGTTTTAAGGCCGATACCGATAGGGGGCCGATTATATCGTGCATCCCTAAAAAAAATAAAATAAAAAAATAAAATATAAAAGACCCTTTGTAAAAAAAAAAAAAAAAACATCTCAGATAAGCATCTCCATAAATGTAGATATCACTGAAGATCTAATTTTAGTTTGTCAGTTCTAAAAGTAAATAATTTATTTTTCATTTTCCAGAATAAGAAAATCATTGGACTGTTGAGGGTTGTGCGGGCTACATTTAAATGTGCAGCTCTGGCAACAACATGTGCAGCGTGGCAACCTTGAGATGTTCCCGCTCACCGAAAAACTGCAATATGGCAATGCTGCTGCAAAGTGCAAGGTGACTGGAACACATTTGAAAACTGTTGAGGAGAAATCAAGATCTTCGTGATATCTAAATTTCACTGAAGTTCTCATTTCAGTTTGTCGGTTCTAAAAGTACGATCCACATTGTAACGAAAAGATTCCCTTCCAGCATTAATTTGGACACAAGACAATAGAAGCAGTTTTTTCTTACTTTATATGATCATGGAGACATCTGCTGACTAAACGGTTGTCCACCCTCGACAGGGAAGGTAAGAAAATGCCCTTTTCACAGGGTTGTGTGTGTGTGTTAATCAATGGAAGTTTGAGTGGCGTGAAAAATGTGCAGAAGGGACTGGAATATTCGCTGCCCTGGTGGAATTGTGAAGCAAAGCCCAATGAAGAGTTTGCAGGAGCTTCACAAACTCTGGACCGCGGCTGGGGATCAAAGCTTCCAGGGGCCACCACACAAAGACCAATCAGACTCTTCCACTAAAGCCTTTGCAGTTCTTGTATTTAGTCTTTGGGCAAATTAGAAAATAGATTAGACTGGTCTGTTGCTCAGACATCCAAAGTTCTATTTGGGACTAAGCATAATTGGGAGATTAATTTGGAAAGTGAGGTCCCAGTAAACATGATGTTTAAGGAAGTTTCTACAATCAATGATGATTTGGAGAGCTCTGCCATCTTTGTAGTGATCCAGTTTTAAGACCGAATATCTTGTGGGGACTCATTACATGAAGGCTGTTAACTGTTACTGTCATTTTTATTGCTTTCATTTTATTAACACATATGAAAAGATTTCTGTCTAAAGCAGCTAGGCAGCAGTTCTTACTTTTGATCATCCTAGCTTTGTATTATTCTTGATACGCAAAAAATATTTTGGCAGCTTGAATTTAAGGCCAGGGCCCCTGCTCAGCTGACCGCTATCCTCTTTAGAGGTGGACCTGTGAGATATGAACAGAGTTTGAATCACCTGGAAGCAGAAGGAAGTGTCTAAAAGCCGGGGCTTGGTAGTGTCCCATACAATAGCCCTGCATGCACCAACAGTGGCAACAACAGGAAACCAGTAACAATGAGCCTGCACACCCCAACGACAAAGTAAATATAGGGCTTAGTTCAATGGTCATCTAAAGGAAAAGAAGCCACATTTAAAAAAAAAATATATATAGGGTTTTATTCAGTTAAAATATACACATTAGGCACCTTATGTAACAAAACAAAAATTAGGTGAAAATTGGAAATCTCATTATATGGGCTTTAAACTTAAGCTTTAAATTTTCCAAGTTTAAAGATGTTTCACCTCCAATCCAGGAAGCTTTTTCGGGTCCAAATGTCTGATAAAGACAAAGTAGTTAGGAAAATGACAGATCCTATGAAAAAAACATGCAAATATCATCATTGCTATGTAGCACAGTATTCACACTAAAGGCCAATTTATGCTTCTGACACATAGCCTCTGCAACCGTCGAATTTGTCTCAGTGCGCGACCATGCCCCCGCGCAGAGATTTGGCACCCATTGTCTTGTACCTCAAAAAGATCCTGACTACACGTTGGCTGGTCACAAACCTGCACAGACCTCAAGCTGAAGAGCACAGACAAAAAGCAGCTGTGATTGGTCCTTGGTATGCCTTTCCGGCTGTCTGTGTGGTCGTCCTTCTCGATTCGGTGCCGGGGCGCACCATTTTTTTAATACCGAGGAACAACTACAATGGACAACCTGCACATCCTCCTAACAGAACCTGTTCCTCTTCGATGTCTAGCAACTCTTGATCTATCTCCGTGACCGTGATTTATTGCGCGCCATCGTTGCCGGCGCTGCCAAAGTTCTCACGAGTTCTAAAATAGTTTCTCCCTTGCGCTTCGGTGGGAAACTGCTGTGCGTCCCTAGAAATTCCAGACCGACGTTGCAGAAGCATACCAGCAAAACTGGTTCACGAACAGACCCAAGAAACATTTGATGTGTGCAGTTGCAGAAGTCTAGTCTGCCCTTTAGCCCAACTTAAATCCCACTAAATGATGGTGTTGAACCAGAATCACTATGGACTACATAACCAATCACTGCAAAGTTTATCTTAGAAGCATAAATAGACTTTCCTACTATTTAAGAGCTTTCAAAATCTGAACAGGGTTTTCTGAACTTTGTGTTTTTATTTAGCATGTAGTGAAGTATGGAGTATGAAGTATAATTTGCCCTTAATGTGTTTAAGTTATCCTCAGATTTTAATGATTGAGTTTATTGATCTTACATTGGAGATATTTACTCGTTACATCAGCTCAAATAGTTAAAAAGAGAAGAAGGTGCCAAAGGAAGAAAAAGGTGCAAGTATGGGATATATACCATATATACAGTCCATCCACATATGACAGCATTTTTTATGGCAGGATTATTATACAGGGTTATTTTCACAGGGTATTTACATGTTATTTTGGCTTTTGATTGATTGATGACAAGGTAAAAACATGATACAGGTCTTTTTAGCAGGCTTGCAGTTTCCTGACTAAAGTCTGATGCCATCCTACAGGAGGCTCATTAATCTGAGTCAACCCCCTCTGGTGTCATACCGACAGATCACCATTTATTGTCTTAACAGATTTGTCCACAGTGCTTAGGAGAACACATAAACCCACTCCCTGCCTTAATCTTATCAATCTAGTCTCCTCCCCTTTAAGTTATATTGTTTAAATACCTGCTGATCAGGTTGGTGATGTCAGGCTCAGCTGGTGAGACAAGAGGCGGAGGACCTGAAATGTTTTTAATAAATACAAATGAGAGCCCTTAGTTAATAACAGCGATTTCAGGTAAAAAGCGCAGCGCTGTTACATGTTACTGTCAGGTTATGAACGCTTATAACTACAGACATGGCGAGGAGGGAGGATGTCGGAGCCTAAACAGTCAATGTGTGACACCTTTGCTTGTTATTGACACTACAGCGAGACTGATGTTACAAATCCAGCGGTGCTACCCTACAACGGCTAACCTAGCTGCTATATGTTAGCTGGAAGGGGGCATGTTCCGTTAGCAGGGGGGGGGACTAAAAGATAAATGCCAGGGGGCGAGGCTGGCACAGCAGGAAAAAAACAAAAAACAAACTTACCAACAGGACCTTCTTTGAATTTAGATGAGCGTCTTCCATTCATAACTCTCTCCAGCCTGCCAGTCCCTCCGCCCTTCTTACTCGACGCCATCTTCGCCCACTGTTTATGCACCGCCTCTCATATCTCGTCCTCATATCCTCATACCTACCTGCAGCTAAGAGGCCCCGCCCACAACCATAGGTGGAGCCAATGAAATGCACGCTCTTCTGTCCAGTAGCCAATCAAAACTCTCATAGGAAATATGTTTATGTTCCCTTCAACACTGATATTTATTTTATGTAGATTAGATATATATTTTTTTTTCAATACAGTCTTGAGGCAATTTAATAGCATTTCTTTATTATTTGTCTTAAGACATATATGCATTTCTATAAACGTTACAGAAAACCGCAAAACATTTATGGTGATTAAGGCATTAAAGCTGCAATAACTGAATATATATATATATATATATATATATATATATATATATATATATATATATATATATATATATATATATATATATATATATATATATATATATATATATATATATATATATATATATATATATATATATTGCAGGGGAGGATTTGAATACATTTTAAAATGAATGCCATCAGTATACATCTCGTCTGTATAAATTTGGAGTACACAATTTAGAGAAAAAAACAAAAAAAACATAGAATTTAAATTTTTGAGTCAATTTTAACCTGCTTGTTTTGCTTGATTTGAAATTATTATACATATATATACAGAGATTATAATTAAGGAAACTCCTTACCAGGAGTAATAAGCACTTATAAGCCAATCCTTTAATTTAAATATTATTGAACTGTTTAGGGTTTTCCTGTGGATTTTAAGATTTTATACATCTTTTTTCATTGTTCACCATTATCAGAATCAATTTTATGACTTTATTTTCTCTTTGATATGAAAATGAATTTATAACAAATTAAACTAAAGCTCAGAACAAAAAAAAAAAAGAAAAGAAAATGAAGAAACACAAAGAATATAATAAATTGCAATGACAACAGTGTGTTAGAGAGCTTACATTTTTAAATCTGGAATGCCTTAAATTAAATGAAAAACTTGAAAACCCATTGTTAAAGTTGCTATGTACAGTTATCATTCGATTGGTATTACTGGAATCCTTGCTACAATCCTGATTGTGATAAGACTGTTTCGTCAACAGTTGTCATAATCTCTAATGGCTGAAAGTAGTTAGGCAATATGAGTCTTAGAGGCTAAAATATAGCTGCCATGTTCAAAACGCTGTGCTGCAATCAAACAACCCATTGTATGGCATAATCCAATCACATTTCCCACAAATCCAGAAATAGATTCCCTGTTTCCACCCTTCGTCTGCTTTCATTCATGGTTTCTCCAGAACGATTTCTTCCTTTTCTTCCATAGCATTGCACACATCCTGGTACTGGCCCTGTGACTGGGAGCGTTCAATCTGATCATATGTTGTGCAGCAGTCGTCCAGATTCAGCCCCTGATGCACAAAAAAATACATATATATCATACTATAGTGCATGATAACAAGTTGATTTTACTATGGTGCTCATTTATCCTGTAAAGGCCTACAGTTTCTTACAAAAGCATTTCTCTTATTTAATACTTGTTGCAGTAAACTGATATTTGAAACTATTTCATCAGGGGTTTTACATGGTACACTGACAAAACAGAGCATGTATGTGAAGTAAAGGGAGAAAAGTACAATGTTTTACACATGGACGCTTCTAAAAATGGGCCCATGAAGTCAGGACTACTGTATAACTGGTCATGGTCCATGTATTTATATATATATTTCAAATGATGGATTTTTTTGTTCAATGCCCCCATGAAAAAAAACATCAGCCCCACCCTGTCCCCCCTGGTAAATGTGCTTGTATTCAGTCCCCTTTACACTTATTTCCCTAATTAAATTTCACAAGTTCTGCAGAGGTTACAAAAAATACATGGAAGAAGGAAATCTGGTCATAGGAAACTGGAAATTAAACTTTTCTGGCCTAAATTATAACATTACATCTGGTTAGAGAAACAAAATATAAAGAAGTAACACTGTACATAAGCTATACACAAACATGTGGGTATCAGTATCAAGCAGTGAAGCTGGTTAGAGTTGATGAAAAGTAAAATCTTTGGAGATAGATCACTCTCCAGCAAACAACAGCCTGGACTGGATAAAACTGCAATGGATTGGATCAGAACAAACTCTACTGATGTGTTAAACAGTTTGATCAGGACACAAGTCCATTCAAGAATCTGTGTCAAGAATTAAACAAAATCTTTTCATTCAGTTTCACAGAGTTTGAGTAATCATGAAAAGTAATTTTCTAACTGTTTGAAGTTACGTGAGACAAATATGAAATTATATTTATTTGTGGAAAAAAAAATTTAAACAAAACCTCTGTAACATTTTTCTTGTATTTGCAGGTTGGTCTACCTGTTAAAGATGTTTTTTTGCAAATAAAGTGACATAATCATATATACATAAATACATTCAATTATATTTACCTGATATATGTTCTCCTCTTCTTGTTTCATTTTTTTCATCTCCAGTCTATGTAGGCTCTGTGACTGTGTTAAACAGAGGCAGAGAAAATGGTTAACAGAAATCTGAGAAATAGGTAACTGATTTGAAATAAAATGGGTGACATCCATTTCTGTAACAACATCATATAAGAAGGGTTGGGTGAATCCATGCAATGTGACTTTCTGACCTGGAGCAAAAGAGAGGCTGAAGGAATGATAACGCACAGCAGCAGCAAGACTCCTTCAACTGTCAGGATCTTGTTTTTGGTGCTCTCACTGAGGTTTATGGTCTTCTCCATAGGCTCTAACCAGACAGGAAGAGATTAACGTATAATAATTGTTGGTCTATAAACAGGATATTGTGCTTTATTGGCACAAGTAAATGCAAGCAGGACAAAAACAGAAGCACTATAATAACTTTATCGACTGCAAAAGACATTTATTGCAAACAACTACTATTTTTAATAGAAATAACTCAATCTAATGTGCAATCTGTGGCTTTATTAGATCAGATATACAAGTTTCATGCATAACTTGGTTACAGCTTTAAAATATCCAACACCTAATTATGAAATTAGAATGAAATATGCTCCTATGTATGGTCAAAAGACTTGCTTTATTACTGTTTGGTGCTTTTTATGTGAATAATAAACAGTGTGTAATTAGACCATTCTTATGACATGAAGATGAGCTTCACTGTGGTATGTAGAAATACTGCCCCCACACAAATCTTGAATAGACTAAGGTTAACAGGATTTGGGGCTTATGATGTGTAAGCGGTACTTAGTGCTCACTTGACTCCACACACATACACACTTAGTGGCATTCCTGATTGGCTTGCCGTGCAATGTGCACCCTCACCCACCCAGTCCCATACTCACTGGAGATCCGCAAGTAGGTGCCGTGCGTCATGACTTTGCCTTCGTAAAGAGAGCACTGGTAAAACCCAGTATCTGTCATCCGTGCTCGCTTTAGGGTTAGCCTGCTGCACTGTATGCCTTCGGACTCAGTGTTGTTTTGAAACACACGTTCATTTAGGGGCACCCTGGCATTCTGAGAGGATGCATCGCTCTTCACCCAAAATACATCTTTAGATTCGCTTTGGTAGCAGCATTTCAGCTTAGCAGTTTCAAACTCCTTGGCTATCTCTGAGGGTTTGTCTGCTTCTAATTTAACTGATATAGCTGTGGCAGCAGAGATGCCACCTGTGAAAGAAGAAAAAAAAAAGGGAATTATAATGATACTATTTTTTTGTTCAGTCTGAGCTTCTACCTTAAAAGAAAAAGGACATTAAAAAGAACTTAAAAAGTTTTTAAACAACAACATTTCTGGCACTGAATAGATAAACTTGATGACGGTCGGTCCAGACATTATTCTTCACCATACTTCTCTTTGATTTAAAGTTGACTGAAAAGAGGGACACATAAAGAAGTGAATATTAGCAGGAAATTTGGCTCAAATTATTTTACATATTTTAAAATGGAAAGCAAAGCCATCAAGAGTAAGAAGAGAAACCAACAAGAGAGGCAACAGTATATAAATTATTATAAATAATGTAACAATTACAAAACACTTTGTAGCATATAAATAGCATATAAATAGCATATATATATATATATATATATATATATATATATATATATATATATATATATATATATATATATACACTATATTGCCAAAAGTATTTGCTCACCTGCCTTGACTCACATATGAGCTTAAGTGACATCCCGTTCCTAATCCATAGGGTTCAATATGACGTCGGTCCACCCTTTGCAGCTAGAACAGCTTCAACTCTTCTGGGAAGGCTGTCCACAAGGTTTAGGAGTGTGTTTATGGGAATTTTTGACCATTCTTCCAGAAGCGCATTTGTGAGGTTGCACACTGATGTTGGACGAGAAGGCCTGGCTCTCAGTCTCCGCTCTAATTCATCCCAAAGGTGTTCTATCGGGTTGAGGTCAGGACTCTGTGCAGGCCAGTCAAGTTCATCCACACCAGACTCTGTCATCCATGTCTTTATGGACCTTGCTTTGTGCACTGGTGCACAGTCATGTTGGAAGAGGAAGGGGCCAGCTCCAAACTGTTCCCACAAAGTTGGGAGCATGGAATTGTCCAAAATGTCTTGGTATGCTGAAGCATTCAGAGTTCCTTTCACTGGAACTAAGGGGCCAAGCCCAGCTCCTGAAAAACAACCTCACACCATAATCCCCCCTCCACCAAACTTTACACTTGGCACAATGCAGTCAGACAAGTACCGTTCTCCTGGCAACCGCCAAACCCAGACCCGTCCATCAGATTGCCAGATGGAGAAGCGCGATTCGTCACTCCAGAGAACGCGTCTCCACTGCTCTAGAGTCCAGTGGCGGCGTGCTTTACACCACCGCATCCGACGCTTTGCATTGCACTTGGTGATGTATGGCTTGGATGCAGCTGCTCGACCATGGAAACCCATTCCATGAAGCTCTCTGCGCACTGTTCTTGAGCTAATCTGAAGGCCACATGAAGTTTGGAGGTCTGTAGTGATTGACTCTGCAGAAAGTTGGCGACCTCTTCGCACTATGCGCGTCAGCATCCGCTGACCCCGCTCCGTCAGTTTACGTGGCCTACCACTTCGTGGCTGAGTTGCTGTCGTTCCCAAACACTTCCATTTTCTTATAATACAGCTGACAGTTGACTGTGGAATATTTAGGAGCGAGGAAATTTCACGACTGGATTTGTTGCACAGGTGGCATCCTATCACAGTTCCACGCTGGAATTCACTGAGCTCCTGAGAGCGACCCATTCTTTCACAAATGTTTGTAAAAACAGTCTGCATGCCTAGGTGCTTGAATTTATACACCTGTGGCCATGGAAGTGATTGGAACACCTGATTCCAATAATTTGGATGGGTGAGCAAATACTTTTGGCAATATAGTGTATATATAGTGTATTTTGCACAACCGCATGTTCAAGAGGCAACTAGTATTAAGCAATAATGTTTTCAGAGGAAGTAATGAATCTATGTAAGGGTACTATGAATAAACTGAAATAGTGTGAAATATTAGGGGAGGATTTAAATACATTTTTAATGAATGTCATCAGTATACGTCTCGTCTGTATAAATTTGGAGTAGACAACTTAAAGAAAAATAAAAGAGAGTAGAATTTCAATTGTTGAGTCAATTGTGACCTGCTTGTTTTGCTTGATTTAAAATTATTATAAATATATAAACCAGGAGTAATAAGCACTTATAAGCCAATCCTTTAGTTTAAATGTTTTTAACTGTTTAGGGTTTTCCTGTGGATTTTAAGATTTTATCCATTTGTTATCATTGTTCACCGTTATCAGAATAAATTTTATGACTTTATTTTCTCTGTGATATGAAAATGAATTTATGACAAATTAAAGCTGAGAACAAAAAAAAAAAAAGAAAGAAAATGAATAAAAACATTGCATCCAAACAGCAGAGCCATCTGTTCTGACAGGAAATGTGGTTCATTGAAGCAGAAGTAAAAGGAACTGTTACAAAAATATATAGAATTCAGATTCTCTTAAAATCAGCATATAATATGAAATATAACATCTAAAAAATTATTTTATATACTTTGCATTTGAAATATGTTTTCCTTTCTTATCAAAATCTAAAATATTCAACATTATTCACAAATACATATCATATAACTCACCCATCAAACTGCAGAAAAGCAAGAACAGAAACACTCTCATGATTTATCTAATATAATAAACGATTAAAAGACGAATTGCGTCCGGCGAATGTCTCCTCAAGTCCTCAAAAGGTTCCTTTTTCTAATGAAAACGGGCTGTTCAGCTGGACTGGATCAGGATTCATGCTTGAAGAGTTTCAGCCATCCCACATTTGCATTAACATTGAGCCTGAACACATTTAAAAAAAAAAGTTTATTCATAAACAGACATAAAAAATGACGTGGATGATGCAAACATGGTTAAAAGTAACTTGGATTGTTTAAAGCTTTTTTTTTCTTTTTACAGGACATTAGCAAATTATCTTATTAACAGCTTCCAAAATGATTCAAATTTACAGTAACTTTAAAATGCTGAACATTCCCCATTGTGATTGTTCACAAAGGAAACAGACACTGCATGCGGAATAACAAGGGAAACCTTTGTTTCTGACACAAGAGTTCAAGGTAAAGCATGATCATCAGCAGACAGCACCTCTATGAAAGCAGTTTATGTAGTTTTCTGGGCCTGAGCACACCGCTATGTCGGGTTTAAATAAAAATGGCATGTTAGTTGTTCTGAGACAGACCACAAATTCCACCGCATTAAAAATGCAAAGAAGGTTCTGCTTGTGTAATGACCCCTCTCCACCTCTAACTTATTGTAGTTTTCTTTAAATAAATGTTCATTTAAAAAACTTGTGATATGCACATTATCATATTAGGTTCAGAGCCTGCGATACAACAAGCACTTTTCAACTTTGGTTATTTCAACCAGTGTTATAGATCATGCACAAATAGCTGACTGGAAACATATGTTTGAAAGTATTCACACCCTCCTGCCCTGTACAAGACATTTTAAACTTTTATATCCGTTTTCAAGCTGTCAAAGTGGAAGGACACTTGCATGTTTATATGTTTATAGATTTATGTATTTATTTTTCCATATAATCCAAGTAGTTTTAGAGCCTAGAGCCAATTAGAATACCATGACCGCAAGCTAAGAGGGCGTGAAGACATAAATGTTTCTGCAACTGAGGCAGCACAACACCGTAAAACAGGGTTGGTTCAAATTCTAACAAAAATATGTGGGAGATTGATAGTGAGACAGAAAACATCAAATTATGGCTGCTAATGATGGTTCTAGTAGCTTCTAGAAACATACAGCAGGTAATATGTTCTCCTTCAGACCTAAACCTTCAGAGAGAGATTAAAACAGACGAGGAACATTGCCAGAATTAAAGAACAAATTTCACAAGATCTAGATAAACTTATCCATTCTTTTTTTCTTTAGTTACATTTATTACTGCAACAGCAACTTTAGAGATCTGCAACAAAAAATCTATCTGTGAGAGAAGAGACTTAAAAATACTTCTATTATTTAAATGGCTGAATGGCTTAGCACCACAATACATTTGACTTAACATCATCCTCATCATCATCTCAACCTTCCAGTCTTGTTTCAGTTTACTTTGCATCTCCAGAAACAAACATGGAGAAATAAACTTTCAGATTTTATGAAAGGTTAAATTTGGTACAAATTTGCAGAAAACAGTAAAACACTAAATCCTTTTAAATTAAGCTGAAGAGCCACCTGTTTAGAGCCGCCTCTGACTAGCAGTCTGCAAACATATCCGGGTGAAAATATATTTTACACATTGACCATCTCCTTATAAGTATCTAGGTGATGGTTTTTATGATTGATACTTGATTGATGTTTTTACTGAATATTTGTTTTGATGTTTTTATGATACTACTTTGCTGCTGAAATGTGTTATACACATAAATATTTACTTACCCCACATTATGGCCTCACTTTGGTGTATTTCATAGATGGATTATGATGCATTTTGAACAAAAATTAGATTTCAAGAATGTTAGAGCTCTGTAAGGACCAGCTGATTTTCCTCTATCCTGGTATGTAAAGCCCATCAATTGAAATCCTGTATTATCCGATGAAGAGCATTTGTTTCTTCAGTAGCCTCACATTTAACACTCATTTTTTAAATGGTGTTCAAAGTATTAAAAATAACAAGATGTTTTATTTATTTCCCCAGTTTATTTTTAAAAAACAACAACAAAAAATCCAAAAACACAAACGTACCACAATTTTCCTTAGGTGTACATCTTTTAAGAGCCTCTTACAGCATAAAAATTTATACCAAATACACAATATAGTTCTTGTTTACATTTTTCTTTATAAGATCAGAAAGATGGAAGGAGCAGTGTCTTTGCTTAAACAGGGCTCTGGTTGGCTGTGGGCTCAAGTTATGAGGAATTAATGGATGCAAACAAAACGGGAAGAAGCTGTAAGCTAAATGTCATCAACATAAATATGAATTAGGGGTGTCAATCTTAAGTTAACATAATGGAATGATATCTTACTGCTTATGAACTTTTAAATCAGCTGTTTTTGTTTTTAGTTACAAGCCCTTTAAGAAGCAAAAAATGTAATGGTCAGAAGAAGGCACCACTCTATAACACTTTATACAGAGTATATTGAATATATAAGAAAAAGCATCAATGGGGAGACATAGGGAGAAAAGTCTGCAACCGTTATGAACTAATAAAGCCTGAAAGCATCACTAGTGCTTTCTGAATTTGGATTTTCACCAAGCCCTCACATCTCATCTCGAAGTCAATCTGCCAAACTTAGAAGAGTAAAATGTTGGCAAAACTGTCCTGTTTAAATCGTTTGCATGTTTGTTAAATCTACTGGTGCGTCAACAAGCTGCAGACAATCCTCCCTTTTTTAATACCAACAGGAAATGCATAGCACATTATCAGAACAGCTTTGTTAAAAAGGAGTGAAAAAAAACTAACAAAAAAAACAGTTACAATGTCCCCTGACCTATTTCATAAGTACATTAAATGAAATGCATAACTTTTGGTAAAACCATGCAATTGGAAAAAGGTACATGAAGACAAAGAAGCAAGTGCCTTCAAACTATTTGATTGCATACAATTTAAAGAGGAAGACAAAAGGAAAAAATAAACATCTTGATTCTGTTTTTTGTTGCACTGATGTGACTAAATGGTGTAAATACATTGAGGTTCAGTAGCTTCAGAAGGTAGGATCTGTTGTAGAAACACCAAAGTGAATGCATATCGGGAATTGAACATGATTACAGCATTCGTGATTATAAAGCAACACTGGAATAAGACAACTGTTTTCTTTTCTCTAAGCATTAAAATGTCATTTGTGACACAGTGTAGTTTGAAAATGTTTTTTCTTTCTCTGCAGCTCCAATACATATTCAGTAATAGATGTTTTAACAGCGTTTGGTCTCTAGGTGCTCTGAGCAGGGGGCTGCAGCAGAGCTTACATAGTTTTCTCTTGCATCTCTTAACCTAAACGCACCTGGACTGATTGGTTGGTTAACGTAAGCAGGAGGCCCGTAATGTCTGCTGGAATTTAGTGATCAAGCTTGAATAACCCTGAACATATTTAATCTAATACCTACCAGTAAATGCATCTATATATCAATAAACAGATTTTTATTGAAAGCCATCTCTTTTAAATGTGCTTCGATGTGTCTTTGGTCCTGCATCAATTATGCCACTACTAAGGAACTATACTACAACAATTATAATTACAATCAACTGCTGAGTAAAATACAAAGGCAGGAAAGCTTTGATACAAATATCGCTAGTTGGGACCTCATCACTAACATATGCATCTAATCTCATATAATACAAATCTTAACCCCAACTGATGTTCTGGATCATAAGTTGCAAAACTCTCTCTAGAGGAGATTGATGCTGCAAAAAACGGTGCATTTGTGAACAAGTCTGAAATTCTGGGCACGCTGTGTGTGTTCAGATTTCATCAGCACGAATCCTTAAAAACTCAGGTTCTCCCATCGGTCTTCTCATGGCCTTCTATTCCAAGCTATTCAAAGCAAACATAAAAAAAAAAAAAAAACTCCAAACCTTCTTCTTTAGGCCTATGTGTTTTCTCTCCCTTCACCTTTGATGTGCATTACGTATCCCAGGATTACTTCTTTAGCCTTGTCCAACTTTATGCATGCCGCTCTCGCCTCGTTCTGACCCAATGTTGTAATAATATCTGTAAGATGAGGCAACCTGCTGACCTAAAAACCCCTCAGAGGAATAAATAAAAGCCGTACATACAAACGCGTCTCCATCATCAACAGCATGATTGCCTATAGCGCCACTTTTCATAAATGTTTTACAGAGAATAAGAGAAAAGAAAAAAATATCCAACATTTCGTTATTAAAAACCTTGTAACACACATACACACACCGTCTTTCATGTATCTTTCCAATAATAAGGTCTGCTGACATGAAACCTAAATGATTAAAAAGAAAACACACTGAAACTGAGTTTAAATAAGAAATTTGGCGATCAGAGTGTGTTTTTAAGTTTTTTCAAAGAGGAAAAAAGTGCATCTCTGTTGTACTTTGGCATAGACTAGAAATAATACATTCTGGCAGTAGTTTTTAAAGAAAAAAAACCTACATTGCTACATTAGGGTCTCTTTTTTTCCACAGCATTGACATTCTTGGCATTAATGTCAATTGTGCTCCAGCATACATGTCTCAGGTGTGCGTATGTGTGTTACAGCAGAAAGACTACATTTTTTATTAGGCAGCATGTCTCTCACACCAAAATATTGCTTCATTACTTTTGTCACTTTCCAGCAAAAACAACCTCCTACTCAAAAGCAAGATATTTCTCTCCCCCCCAATCGGTTCCATCCTTTTGTTTCAAACATGCAGCCAGACAGACACACGCACACCAATGCACACACCTCCCACGCTCCATCACTGAACTACTGCACTGTGCACAAAGCAATTACACTCCTCTGGAAGGCAGGAAACTTCCTGCTTTGGCAGCAAACAGCGCTGATACAAAGATATAGAAGTGGCAGCTTGGATCCAGGCATGATGTTTTTGTTTTTTTGTTTGTTTTTTGAGTGGGAGTGAAAGTTCCAGGAAAGCCTCGGAAAGTCACTTAGCTCCAAACAACAGCCAGAAGAAAACCTGAACGGAAAGAAAGATCAGAGGAAATGTGTTTGTAATAGATGATAATTATGGTTACGGGACAGATAACAATCAGTAGCTTTAGCTACACTGAAAACACATTTTTCTTTTCTTTTTTTAAATCCTAAATTTCAAGGATTTACTTTCTACTCAGGATGATTATAAAAAATTAACAGATTGTGACTTACAGGGCTTAAACAGGAATGAGTAACTGTAATTTAATGCTATTTTAATGCTCTTAGAAATCATTTTAATGTCATCAAGAAGTATATATCTATCTATAGACAGATACATACATAAATAAATACATATACATATATATATATATATATATATATATATGTATATGTATATATATGTATGTATATATATATATATGTATATATATGTATGTATATATATATATATGTATATATATATGTATGTTTATACATATATAAATGTATATGTGTATATATATATATATATGTATACATATATGTATATGTATATATATACGTATATATATATATATATATATATATATATATATGTATATATATACGTATATATGTATATATATATATGTATGTATGTTTATATATATATATACATATACATATATGTATATATATATGTATGTTTATATATATATATGTATGTTTATATATATATATATATATATGTGTATGACATTGTATATGTATATATATATATACACATATACATACATATATATATATATATATATATATATATATATATATATATATATATATATTTTTATATACATACATATATATATATATATATATGTGTGTATATATGTATAAATGCCACAATAATCACATGAAATTCGATGCCAATTAAGGCCTTGATTTAAACTAAAATAATTTAATGACAATGATTTTTAATGACCTGCAGAAACCTTGGACTTAGTTTTTTTTTGTTCTTGGGAAAGACAATTTCCTATACCTAAAAAAATATGCTTAAAAAATGCTTTAGTTCTTAAACAGGGAGCTTTGGAGAGATTACCACCTCTGATAAAGTTCTTCTTTCTGCTCATGAGGGTTTGATTAAATAAATTTTACTTCTTTATACCCCCTATTCAGAAATACATTAAATTATATTTATAATTGGGAGAGTGATAAACACAGTAAATGGGGAGTGGTGGCCTAGTAGTTGGGGCATAGAGGTTGGAATCCTGAGGTTCTGAGTTTGAGCCCCACTCCCACAGACTGCCACTCTGGTCTCTGAGCAAGACCCTAAAACCCACACTGCTCCCCAGATGCCCCAAGATGGCAGCCCGCTGCTCTCCAAGGGGAATGGTTAAATGCAGAGGTACAGTAAATTTCTCCAATGTGAGATCAATAAATATTATCGTAATTAAATTATACATTTCATTAACTACACACATTTCTATGAGTTCAATTTGTAATTTTACTGGATTTTATTAACCTATTTATTCTTTTATGATGAAGATACAGTTCTGTTCAGCGTCCCGCCTCTTTCTCACAGATTGTGTCATTTAAAACTATATCGATGTTCTGAGGGTTAACTGGAGAAGAAGCCATTGCTTGACTTGTGGTTGATGGAAAATGGGCCTCCAGGCTTAATCATCAAAAGGTGCTGAAAACACTAATTAGAAAAGTAAAATATTAAGACATATATTCCTGGAAATTAACAGATACATTTGGGGATTAGAGATTTTATTCTAAATAACTATTTAGATAATACAATTATCCAAAGTATATGCATTTTTAAAAAGCATGGATTTTCCAAACATTTACAGCATAATAACATTCAACTTGAATATAAAAACTTTAATCAGGTTCCTATTATCTAAAATACGTCAGCAAATGTGAAATTACCTATTGCTGACAAAATATATTTTAAAAACATGATATCCTAACAGATACCATTTGATCCACAGTGGTCCAAATGTACAAAGTGAAATAATTTTAATTAATAACTTCTGGAATGATTCTGGAAAACAAGTAATTTCTTTTTTGTAATTCTTGGCATCTAAATGCTTTTGATTTGATTATCAGTCTTACCAGGTGCTGCTTTGGGGTTTTTATTTATGTTGTTTGAAATCAAATTATGTTAGTTACAAATAATTTCATAATCAAAATGCTTTTTTTATTTCCTAAACTGAACTTATCAATTTAAATTCTTTAAAAAAAGCATGTTTTTTTTTGTTTTTTTTACAAAGGTTTGAAACTAAAAGGATTTTTTTATGATAATGATATAAAAGGGCAACATTTACTTTTAGATGTTTATCATACTGAGGAATATGCTTTAAACCTTATAAAAATGCCACTGGAGTAAAAGAATTCCAATGTCTCTCCATTTTTACTGTTTTTCCAGGCACAGCTTTGGAAGCACCCAGCATAGATAATCCCACCTGATGGTTTTATCGTGTGTTAATTCGAGCATCTCTAGCGGCTTTCTCACCTTGTGGCCAGCAGGTGGCAAAAACGCATCTCACTGGAAGTTACCGCCTTCCAGCGAGAACTCTGAAAGGACCTCGTTCAACTTGTGATGCTCCTCTTCCACAGCCTGAAACCCAGAAAATCAATATCATCTCAGGAATTGAGAACAAACTCACTTACTGACAAAAGCAATTCAGCCTCCTCCTCTTAACATCCACCTTTCGTCTCCCTCGCCGCTTCCCTGACACATCCCATTGCAAACGCCGGACATAATGGCCATTTTTAGACAAGTCCAATTTCACAAGGCAATTTTCAGCCAAGCAGTAACAGCAGTGGTTAAATGGTTTTCTATTCTCTAGTTTCTCTTTTTGCACCATTTGGCCCTATTTTGCCCACTACCTCCTCCTTACTTAAGTTATCGTTGCTGAAATGGCCAGCTACGCTGTTCCTTTCCACTCGCCTTCAATCTTTTCTCCTCTCACATCTTTATCTGCTCCAGTCATACAATCTGCTCTCCTCCTGATACAGCCATTCATCTCCGTCCTTATTCACCTGTAGTCTCTGTATCTTTTCCTGCAGGCTTTGCAGCCTCCTGCACACTTCGTCCATTCTCTCCTGGGACAAGACCAGCGGGGCGCTGATGCTCCCGTCTTCATCTTCTTTTTTTACTCCATCTTCCTTCCTAGAAGGACTGGCGTTCACCTGCATATATCCCCTGTCTGTCGACTCACTTTCCTCTGTTAACAAAGATAACTCAAGTTACAGACGTCAGCTGGCCTTAGATGAATTATTTTAGCAGTAGAAGGTGATCAAATCTTTAACCTGCTGGCTGGGAGCCATCTGTGTCCTGAGAAGGCTTCTCTGGTTGCTCCTCTTCATTTTCTTCATCAGGCAGCGAGTCCTCTGACAGACTGATGCTGCCGATCAGCAATCTTTTCAGTGACATGACTAACAGAGGAGAGGGATTCAGTGTTTTAAAGTTAATATGAGGCACGAGAACCAAACACAAAAGAAAGACAAATGAGACGATGGATCACCTTCATCCAGAGCACTGCTGGCCACCTTCTCCTGACCGCCGCTGGACTGATCCAGCACATGGACCAGGCCTCTGTCGGTCAACAGTTCAATCAGTTTATCCCTCGGATGTACAGCTTTGTCATCTGTCACACTGGCCTCTTCTTGATCTGAAGATGGAGAGAGGGGTTGGCATTAGTCTTTGGACAAATCTAATGACGGTGCATTTTTAAAAGTGCTATACATCCAATGAGGCCTTACCACTGCTGCCTCTTAAACCGCCATTCTCTGATGGACTCAACGGCGGATTCAACCTAATCAAAGATAAAGGGAGTCAATCATTGTTTTTAACCTTTTCATGTTCAATCTTAAATATAGCTTCATTTAATCATATTTTTTCATCCATAAATTGTACGCTAATCCAGACTAAGGTGATCAGATCTAAAAAAAAAAAAAAAAAAAAAAAAAAAAAAAACTAATTTAGGAGAATTAAGATGCTAATGAGGGCCAATGCTATACAGACACCTTGTGTTTCTTTTGCGACTCGCTTTGACAGTTATTTACATCGCGCTCCTATCACATCAAACTAAAACAATTATTTCACCAAACTTTACGAAAGCTTTTTGAGGATTGCCTCAGGCAGTTATTAACAGTTTCTTATTCTTTGCCATTTTCTTTACTTTGAATGTAGCTTCCATCATTAAACTTATCTCTATTTTGTACAATCTTATGTCTATTGAAGCTGTTAAGTATAGCCTTTATGAGTCGGATTTAATATTTACATAAGTAAAGCTGCTCAGTAAAGACAGTAAAGACTTTGGCTTGTTTGCTAGTACGGTAAGTAGGAAATGTGGGAGTGCTGGTTAGAGATGACAGGATAATAAAGCAAAATTTTGGTAAATAATGGAAGAAAACCTGCAAGCTGCTGACTAAACGCTACAGCAAGAGCCACAACAGAGCAGTTTAGATTAACATGTGGTTAAATATCAGAAAGGTCCAAAGTGACAATCAGTAAAAATAGCCGTTTACAGTAAAGACACTCTTCATCCAATCTAACAGAGGCAGATCTATTTCGTTAAGAAGAATCAGCCAAACCTGGGCTCTACATGTGCAAAGCTGACAGAGGCATGATCTAAAAGACCCAAAAGACTTTCAGGCAGAACTGCAGCAAAAAGTTGTTTTCCAGTGGTTTGACTAAAGACACACAGGAACACGTACATGGATGGGCTGAGAGGAGACATCCCAGCTCCAGGAGTAATAGGCAACTTCAGGGAAGCTCCATTTCTCTTCAGATCGTCTACTGCTGACCTGATCATATCAGTCCAACTATAAAACACACAAATAAGAGAGGTTACAGTTTATCATTAGGTTTAAGAAACTTACGACGACGATTTGCTTTGACACTCACGTTTTCCTTTCTCCAACAGACTGAGCCACCAGCTCATAGATCTGAGCACCATTCTCCCACGTGAATATCACATATAAAGCCTTTCGATCTGATAGAACAGGAAAAACAAAAAACAGGAATGAAGTACTTGAAAGTTTTCCTGCAAGTTTTGCGAGATAGCTACAAGAACTAACCTGTTGCCACGTCACGGAGGAAAACCGAGTCCAACTTTATAATGGGGCTCAGACTCTGCTTGCCCTCCTGCCCCGCAATGTTACTCTTACTTTGGCATTTGAGCAACATCTTGTCTTCCTGCTTTTGTGCAAGGACCAGCAGATCTTCCAGCAGCAAGCAATGAACATCTAAGAGACAGAGAGATGTCCTTTAGCTTCACCAAATTTCTTTCCTTCCCTTTTCAGACAGCAGATCATTGTTCTGTTTATCGCTCACAGCAACATATTATGTACTGAAATGATTTCAAAGCCACAAGAATTTATAGTTAAGTCTATCAACCTTTTAAGCCCTTATCAAATTGGGGTTAAAAGCACTTATTTCAATTGATACAAAAGGGGAACTCCACCAGGTGCAGTACAGCTGTGTTTCCATTTATTGTAATTTAAATGTGCACATATGAAAAAGGGAAATGAAAAAAGAATGCATTATCTTAAGATAGGCCTAAACTATAAATATTTATATGTGGAGGATAGATTTAAAAAAGCAGTTTCTTATAATGCAGCACACTTGAAACATCAAAATGTTTGTTATAATACATGTTTTTATTTTTAATAATGGTTCTGCTAAATGTTTTATTAATAATCCTGGTATATCTCTGTTAATAATATATGCATTTATTTACCAATAGCCTTTTCCTTGGTCACCCTCCAGATCAGCGGACCTTCGAAAAGCATCTTCCTCTGAGTCAGGTCAAGGTTCTTGAATATTGAGGGGGGAAAAGAAGATGAGAAAAGCAGAGAACAGAAGGATGAGCTGAAATCAAACTTTTCTTTTTAGAGAAAAGTACCTTATATTCTGTATAAAGGTCAACGCTGGCTTTCAGTCCTGATGTGTCCAGTTTTTTCTGGTATTCCTTCAGAGTCTGGGGGCAAAGAGAGACATAGACAGCTGTTTCAAATGTTAACACTGAAGCCTAAACAAGCAGAAACCCTCCAATGACCCCACAGACGCCTAGTATGGACATAACAGTCTGTTTGGTGCTGGTTTATGTGGTTCTTACCAACATGTTCCCCATGCTTTTGACCTCTTCGTTGACATGGTTGAGGATCTTTCTGCAGCATTCTGCACTGTCCTGGATAGCCGCCTTCTCATCTGGGTCCTCTGTTAAAACAGGCAGAAAACTCAGAGCTGAGTACAGATCGGCTTTTACAAAGAGGCCTGAAAAAAGCACCAAGTCACAATGATCTCTACAAAGACTAATCATCTGTGTCATTTAAGCATAAGTGTTTTTTAAAATAATTATGCTGCTCTTTAAGTTATTATCTGCTAAGTTGAATGAAATAAAACACAGATGATTACATTAGCAGGAACACATGACAATAAGCCAGCTGTTAGCTCCTCTCATTTAGTTATAAGGCTGTCATGCTAGAATTTAATTAGCAGCATACACCTAAAGAAATAAACATTTGCTCCATGTGAAAAATAATACTTAAACTAGGAAGAACAATATAGTTAGATTTATTTCTACAGAAATCAACAATGGCATTAGTTTTACAAAAAGATTAACAACTAAAAATAAATAAATGTTTATTTAGATAAATAACAAAAATTTTATAAAGGAAAATAAAATAAAACTGAGGCAAGCCTTTTGGTCTTTCATGATTATCTAAATAAAGAAATGTATAACCTCATTTATTACCTCATTGCTACGCTCTAATCAAATATTGCATACTTTTTTGTTCTATCTTACTCTTAAAAAGCATCTCAAAAACAATCATGACAAATAACAAAATCCTCCTTTGTGTGCAACAGTGCTTTAAATGAATAAAGCAGATTGGCCATACAGAACTAGAAAGTGGCTTAGAAACCCTGATCTTTCAAAAATGTTGTTTCTGAATTCACCAATGTCAAGCAGCCAGTTCCAAATCCAGGCTGCTTCTGGAAAAACCTGAGCAAAATATGCTACACAGAACTTGGACTGAATACATGATGAGGGATTGGGATAAACAGAACAAATGCTAAGCGGTACTACGACATAAACACACAACGCACCTGTGTTCTTAGCAATGTTCTCCAGCAGCAGTGGATACTTCGTAAGCCTCTGCATCTCTGTAGGAATAATGTCCTTGAGCTGTAGCCTGCGGCACTGGGGCTTACTCTCTGCATCCTGAAGTTCAAACAAACAAAGAGTCAGAGTTTCACGTACAGATGAATCAAAATATTTACATGTGCTTTTCTCCCAGTGAGTAAGATTAAATCAGACTAAACCTTTCCTATTTAAGCCAATTCTGTTCTGCAGAAAAACCAAAGAGAGATTTTCGTTTATTATTTCCTATAAAACCAGAAACTAAAACTTTTAAAAGTGTTCAGCAATAATAAATATTGTTATATTGAAAAGTAAAATGGAGAACAAAACAAATGGTTTTGTGGATGAAATGCAAAATGATCTAAAGGATTTAGTTGAATTGACATTGATTTGATTAGAGGAATTTCCATAATTGCTCCACTATGACCTGTCCTATAATTTCATGGTTTTGCTGTTTTGACAGCATAGCTTATTAGCCTATAAAATAGCTGCATCACTTAGTGTTCAAAGCATGTGAAAAAAGTTGAGCCTTTTAGCCCAGAACTTAAGGTTTCTATTTAGAGCGGTCTTGTCCTATCTATCCCTGCAATGTACTTATGTTTTTTTCATGTACAGCACTTTAAAGTTAACCTGGCCGTAGCCTCAGACTGAGTTCAGTTCTACAGGGATGGCTGCTATTCAGTCCGTTCGTAATAAGGAGAGATGTTCAGTACAATACTTCGAGCTGATCGGCTGACGTGCCAGCTAGAACCCGCCTTTCATAATACCCTTTCATTCAATCACAGCTTCTTGAGTGTTTTCACACTAGCGGAGTACGCTGATAAATCAAACTTTATCCAAATTCTGTCAGAAGAAAAGCACAGACATCTTTCTCATCTGCAAATGCACAAAGTGCTTCTATTTGCTCCTTTTTTAAATGGGAAATTGTTGCTATTTTAGCTTAAACTGAATAAATTGCAATATCGACAGGTGAGTTCTCCAGTGTAGCCATGTTTGTAATGCCCCAACAAGGACCTTCTGACTGTCGTGATTCCTACATGTCCCGCCCCAAAAACACTGCTGGCATGTCATTGGTCCAGGCAACTGGTTGTTACGAGACAGACGTATTAGTTTGTCAAGATGGATTTGTTGTGAGACTGGAAAATCAGATCTTGTGACAATCTAGCTTGCAGTGCAAGGTTACTTTAAAGTGCGTTGTTATTGAAATGTTATTGAAATGTTCATTATATGAAATAATGAAACAAACTTGCCTTGACTTGGACATTACTGTTTGGACACAAATGGAGTTTTGTTTCATTTGGACTTCACCCTAACCGTAGAGCTACGTAACTTAAGATCAACAGAATCAAGATTTAGAGCAGTCGTCACAATTTCCTGATTTCCCATAAAAAACAAAAAACAGAGCTAAGAAAGCCTTTTTTATACAATATGTGGAATGCATCTACGTTTATTCATCTATCTATTATTTTGGAGTCACTATAATACCTGTATAACAGCATTAAAGCGGGGCTCTTTCTTCTGTCTTTGCTTGATCTGGTCAAGGGCCCAGGTCTGGTGACTGCAGAACCTGGAAGTCAGTCTCTGAAACCATTCTCCCTCGTGGCCATCAAACTGAAACACACACGTTAACACGGTGAGATGCAGGGGGAAAACAGAAGACGACGAACATGCTGATGCTGTATGCATAACCAACAAAGAAAGAGAATGAACTTACTCTGTTGCGCAATGTCGTGCTGATTTTTTTAACTATATAGTTTTCATTGACACGCAGTTTCTTCAGGTTTTCATAGAAATTATCTAGAATTCAGAGGCAGACAAAAGACAGCATTGATTCCCAGTCTAGAGAACAACTTCTCTTTTCTTCTATTCAGTCCTTTTGGCCGGAAAAATAAACCACGTAAACATCTTTTCTCTTCGTCTGATTAACTACTTTAACCTGATAGCAATGATTTATATTGAAATAAAAGCTCAATTTTACAAATAAAAACAACAACCAGATATATAAAGGTTTTGTTATTCTGTTGCTGTTTGAAAATGTTCTAGATGCAAAATATTTCAAAGCTGTGTGATAAGAGCATCACTCACAATGCATTTCAATGATTTCCTCGAGGTTTGGGAAAATGGCTTCAATTTCTACAGCAGTCAAGAGTTGCTCCCTCTCCATCTGCTTGGCGAACACCCACTGAAGGACACTCAGCATTCTGACGTGTGCATGCTCTGTGGCAAACAACTCTGAGAGGGAAATCAGGACGTGCAGAATGAGTGGCATAAAAAAAGGGGGGGGAAATGCACATTTTCCATTGCTTTCGTCACGTATAGCTAAATGTTACCATTTATGACTTCCTGCCTCTTGGTCTCCTTCTTGCTGAGGCTCTTCACAGCCTCAGGGGACGCCAGCTGCCTCCAGCTGGACGGGTCCTGCTCCAACTCTTGCAGACGGGGATCAATCTCCTCCAACTGCGGAGAGGGACTTGTTGGGGGCTGGCCAGGCACCTCAGAAGGGAAAGCGGGTCCTTCCAAACTAACACAGGTGAGAGACAAAGTAGTTTACAATCACTATAATCCAAGCATAATAATCCGAGCCTTTTACACTTTTGTAAAGTTTTAGGGAAAGGTGTTTTACTGCAAGTAAATCAGAAGCTTAACTAGTTATGTTGCTCTACAGCTTTAAAATGAAGCAAATTTCTTCATTTTTTAGAATAGGGTTTCTTACTCACATTATCACATGTATATTGCCCAGTAGACTCTTTCTGAACAATGACATTGTTACTCTGTCCTCAGCTACCTGACAATGCTAGGTCCAGTTTTTTCGAATCATTGTATCATGCAAGGAATTTTTAAGTCTAGCTTATTGTTTATGCCAAAAGGCCTTCTGAACTGTATTTTCAGCTGCTATCTCAAAGGCCTGGAAGTGTATAAAAAAATATATATAGCCTTTATTCAGGCACAAGACACCACTTGAACTTCTTAACAGGCCTACTTGCTTCTGCTTGTCACTGGCAGCTACAACACTCAGATTGAAGTTGGTCATACAACCAAGTATATGTTTTGAAACTTGTAGGAGGCAGAATTGAGGAGATCTGGGAGAAAGCAATAAAAACAGATGCTTGTTGGGATGTGGAAGGAAATTGGGGTAAGCACTACTGCAAATCCATTGAGGTCGTCTCAAAGAGATTTCAAGGGCATCCTCTGTATCATGGCAACACATGGTGGCAGAATTAAAAAGTCACCAGCAACATTGGAAAACCAGCAAGATAGCCTCCAGGTGGCTGTGGATCAAGAGGGGGAATCTGTAGTGCAGCATGGCTGGATTGCCCAGGTGAGGGGGTCTGAAGATCAAGAGCTCTAAAACAAGAGATGATCCATGGTTCTAGAGATAACTCCAAACTGACCACACATCTGTTTGGTATTGGACTTCATTAGGTCAGAAGACCTCAAAGCGTTTTACACCACATTTAGTCATGCAACCATTCACACACACACACACACACATACAGGCTGATGGTGGCAAAATACTTAGTAGCTAGAATAGAAGTGAGGTGCCTGGTTGATCATAACTTATCTTCCTCAAGGATAAAACTGAGATTTAACATCCAGGGAAAAAACAGCTAAATGACCAATTATTAGTTCCAAGGCTAATTTTGTCCTATGGAATAATTGAGCTTGAAAAACTTTTTATTAAGCAAAAACATAAAGCTGTATTTACTTCCTGGTTGTTTTTTTAAACTAATGCTTACCAGCACAGTAGTGCAAGAAAGGCACATTAACAAACTCCTAGTAACACACAGCTGCTACTCTCCAAGCTGCAGAAAAACCGCATCAAAGGTGAATAGATGTTTACAAAATAATAACAATTTGTTAAAATATGAAATAAATCAGATTATGATGAAAATATTCCCATTATTTTTTAGTCAATGCAACTCTGGCTGCAATCACATCTCTCAGTTTGACTGATAAGGTTTTAGTCAGGTGAGCACATCTGGACACTTCCACCCCCCATTCTTTCACTTAAAACAGCTCATCTCCCGCCATCTTGGACAGGGACTAAATATTCACATTCAACTAGATTAACAGTCTATGTATAGTCTTTACTGTATGCTTGTGGTTATCTTGCTGGAAACTAATTTCTGAAGTCACAGTTCTTTGACAAAATGAGTCTAGTTATCTTTATTTTTCCTACACTACTGTTCGTGTTTGCTCTTCCTTTACTAGCCTTCCACAGAATGCTACTAAGTAGCACACAGACCATGATGCCACCACTATCTTGTTAAGAATAAAATACAATACATTTGTGGGGAGGTGCAATGTCTAGTGGTTGCCTCACAAAACACCCGATAGGTTGTATAAAAAGTTAAAGGGACAGTGTGTAAGATTTACCTCCATCTAGTGGTGCATTAAATGTAATACAAACAACTGACTGCTGCCTTCCAGTCAAATGTGAAAGACTTACTACGGAAGCCGGGGAGTGACATTCTACTCTTTCTGAATAGAGGGGAAACATCAACCTCAGTCATTGTTGTAGAACCAACTAAAATAAACCATGAAACACAACATTTCTTGGAGAACAGGGCTGAAAGAACCCTATGCTGATTAGCTGTTATGACTCCTGTGAAGAATAACAGCTGATAACAGCTGCATCGCAGAGCATCCAGTGTAGGCTAATAAACAAACTAGGCTTCTCTGTTGGTCAGACGAGGTCCTGGACTACACTGCCCTGTTTCTAACACAACGCCAAAATAAAAACATATCTGCCTTAATAAATTACCTTTCCTGTCCAGCTGAAAACCTGAAACATTTGCCTCTGTATTGAAACTCTGCTTCCTCATCAACTGGCTCTACCTTGTAAAACTAACACTGATACAGACTCTTGCATCACACTTGACAAAAAGGATGAATGGTCCTCCATATTAATAGACAGTGTAAGGTAGAATGATATATGGTTGTTTTTGCTTTTTTTTAAAACTCCTCCACCACTAACAGCATCTTTTCAGATAAAATGCATAAGACTGACAAGTTTGGCCCCTTCTGGCACTGTTGATCAAAAATGGCGATAAACCCTTTTATAAACTACTACGGTAAATCTAAGCCATGAGAAGGCTTTAATTTCTGATGTGATATCATTAGACTTTTGGAGTATATGTTATTAAAAAATACTTGATTGTTGATTATAAAAATCCACATTTGTTACACACTGTCCCTTTGATTTTTTTTTCTCAGTAGTCCGAACTATTTTCCCCAGTCTGATGAGGATCCAATCATATGCTGTTGGACAACTTTTCCCCAAATGCATTTTAAACCATAGCATTTCCTAACTGTTTTTCACAAATCTTCTTTTTTCCTAGTAACTCTGTCATTTCTAAGCAAAAGGATGAAGGTTTCATTTGAGTTTCATTATGGTGGATTTCAATTAACTCCTTGGGATGTCAAGTGACCTAACTTACACAAGGCAGCCATCATTTCTGTGACTCGCTTCATCGTGATTCTCTAATTTCTCACAATATCTATTTTCAATACGGATGAACCTAACTGGACCTCCCAAATACCCATATTTTTACACCACCATTAAATGTTCCAGCTGAACTAATACAAAGCCCAGTTTTCAATAACGTATTACTTAGGGTGGATCTCTATCAGTCTCTATAAAAATGGGTCAATTTCACACATATTTCACACAGCATATCTTAAACCCCTATTTTGTATAAATCCGTTTTCAGTCTGAAACTGTTTTGTTTTTGTTGCAATTCTTGTCAAAAAGGACAAATTATAGAGGATTCTGCTTCATTTACAAAGCAACATAAAAGTGAAACTTTAAACATTTGAATACTATATTTAGGCATTTAAACAGTGCAATAGTTCATTTTCGCAAATTCTATACAGATATATGAACCTTAGGTAAATAGAAAAGCTTGCATGATAATAGGAAACTTTCATTCTTCTTTTAACATCTCTATTCCAAACAGGAGGCTCTTTCTCTATCTGATTGTTTCATCTCAGAGTAGTGGACATCCTGTCTGTCCCTGCTGTGAGCCTCTCCAGCCGTAGACGCTGCGATAAAAGAGTGGCTGTCCATCTTACGGATGGAGGTGCTGCGGGGAGAGCGGGGCAGGACTTGTCGCAGATGAAGGAGGCTGGAGGTCCACGTCACTACGGGAGCGTGACTGTTTACGAGAAGAGCCACGGCGCCGAGACGAGTGCCGGTCCACGCGTGCGCTCTCGCTGCGTCCCACTTTCCTGCTTTAGGGATGGAAGGTAAGGAGAGGACGAGGAGGAGCAGGATGGTGAAGGTGAAAGAAAACAGGGACAGGATGAAGATGTGGGGAAATAAAAGGTTCCAGCAGGAAGAAAAAAAAAGAGAAAAAGGAAGAAGACACATACAGACCCAAAAGACAGTGGAAAAAAATGAAAACATTCAAATTACAGATAGATGTGAGGATGGGATTATAGTTAATTATCAGTACAGAAGATGATGGATGAATCAAATTAATTTAAGATTTACAGATAAAAAGGAAAAAAAACTAACAAACAGATTCTGAATGAAAAGTTGATATGCATGAGATGACATGCATAGAAAAATAGAAAACTAGAAAAGGCAGCGTCTGGATGCTACTCAGAGGACGTATAGTTAGCCATGCACTGCCTCTACATTCATTTAGGCTTAACTCTCCATTTTCAAACAATGAAGATATCTATAATTCAGATGTTTTCTATAATCCAGCTAGTCCCTTCGCATCACTTTTAACATACTTAGCCAGCTTGTGTTGCATCATAACAGGAACACATAACTCAGAGTAAAGTGTGTTTGCTTATGAGCGTTGTGCTCTCTGTCTGCATCATATGTGAACAGAAATTGGTGCCTGAAGCTTGTCCGTGTCTCTGCTGACACCCACCTTGGCTTCCGTCTGCAAAAACACGGAACATCACACCGTTACACACTTCCCTTTGCCCTTTACACGGCTGAACGTACAAATGCACACCCCCCAACATGAGTGACACCCTGAACATGTTACTGAACCGCTGTCCAAGCTGCATGCCATGTAAGACGCCAGAGGCTCCTGGCAACAACATGTAATCGCACAAACTGACGCAGGCGAGGATGCAGGACGAGTCCTGATTTGACACAAAGGACACCTTAGAAAGCACATTGACTGAGCAGCTAAAGTACGGCAGGAAATATATAGCTCGCAAAAATGTCCGACTGAAGATCGAAACTTAACTTCTGGCAGGAAAGCTGCACCTAGGGAAGCAAATAATCGCTTTAATGCAAGTTTATTTATGCACTGTGAAAAAAACTGACATGGTGCTATTTTGTGCCTAATTATACTAAAATTTAAGCTGTGCAAACTCTGCAAACTGAGGCCAATAAAAACTGCGATGAAATTGTTAAAATGAGAAAAACCGAAACACACAAAGAGACAGCAAAGAAGGAGAAGGCATGCCAATGTGAGGAAGATGAAGGAGAGAGGATAAAAGGAGAGGGAAGGCAATGGGGGGGGGGGGCTGGGTCCACGTTCACCTCCGTGAGGGTCCTTCTCAAAACTGCAGGCTCTGTTAGCTAGCGAGCGACGGGCAGCATGACAAGAGCTAGCACACAGCAGGGACAGACCGCTGAGGGAGTTTTACCACACTCCCCCAGCCAGTGGACACAGTGGACTTTTTCTGCCCAATTTCCCGTTCTATTCAAATCTTCCCCCAGTGCCATCACTTCACATCGCTTCATGCTCACTAGCCGATTCTCATCCCCGTCTTCATCCTCCTCACCTGTCCTTGTCCGACTCCTCTGGATGAACATCAAGGGGTGAACTATGCTCAACAACAGGGACCCCAGCTGCCATCTCTGGAAGCGGCCCGTCCGACTGGGTGGGAGGCTCTAAAAAGTTGCATGGCTGACCTGAGGGGGCAGAACATCAGGTTCATGTATTAATTAAGAATCAGTAGGCGAAAGGTAGTCAGTTCATTTTTATAAGTGCTCATACACATAAAATGACCCCATTTTTAAGCTGGATGGTTTAAATCAGACTAACCTGATATAAATCCCAGTAAAATAATCAGCGGATGGAGCCACATTAATGACGCATTAATTCTTATGATTTCATCAGGATTTATGATGTGTCACTTATTTTTGCACTATAACAAATATTCTAAGTTGAATTGAGATCTGGACCCTGATGGCGTCATTCTAATGCTGCGTTCACAACAAGAGCGTTTTAGGCGTTAGATGATTGTGCATTTTCAGGTCGCACACCCTGGAAGCTCGACGCCCTTGATATTGAAATGCTCTAGAAAGTAGCTTGGTCTTATTTTCAGTAAGTAAAAGTTTAAGTGGCATGATAATGACATCTTTTCTTTCTGTTATTCCGTCTTTTTAAAGTCAGTAGATTTTAAACCCTATATATATATATATATATATATATATATATATATATATATATATATATATATATATATATATATATATATATATATATATATAAATTCCTGTTTTATATTCTGATAGAAGCCATCAATTTTGCCTGCAGTGTCCATTTTCCAGAAATCTGGATCAGCTTTTCCAATTGGTTGATGCTCTGCGTCAAGCTGTGAAAGTTCAGATTCCTGAAATTCAATGTCGGACACACTGCAGGACCTTTTAACCCTGCTTGATGGTGTTCACCATAGAGTTTGATGTAAATCAGACACCCAGAATGCTTTTCGTGTTAACGCACCATAATAGAATATACTTTAATATAAAGAACTGCATTGTTGCTGTAAGTTCGGAGTGTTTGTCCTGCTGCATGGTGGATCTCTGCCACATCCCCATGTCTTAGTGTTTTTCTGCTTCCTCCTCCTGAAAATAAACAAACTCCCTCTTTTTCTCTGAGTGAAATATTCCAAGCTTTTCTAATCTGTATGTTTTGATGATTATTTATTATGAGCAATGAAAACCCAAAGGTCATCATCTAAGAACATTTGAATAGATTAAAAAAGTTATTTGAGTTATTAAAATAAAATATATAATCCTAATTTACTGAATAATTGAAAGCACCTGCAAAGGTCTCCCAAGACTGTAAAATGTGTCCCAGTCTGGGACGGAAGGCTACATAAGCACGGGAAAAACTGCTGATTTCCAAACATTTTTGGCACAACTTCCCTGACTCCATAAGTGCACAGGAGAGGGAAACAGCTTTATTAACTTGTGGCCTTTATGTGGCCTGAACGACCCTGATGAAGCCAGTCAGCTATAAAAGTGTTTTCCTAGTAGATCAAGTGTTGCTATAGTCTTTACTTCACCAGAAGACTGCTGACCTGACAGAGGTCCAGAAGGAAATCTGCGACTCTAGAGGGGATTAGCATCAAAAGGTTATTGCTAAGCAAGCTTCTTGCTTACAGGGAGCTGAATTTAAGCATGTTCATCGAGAGCGGTAAGAAAAGTTTGGGTTTTCATTTTCCATAAGCTGGAATCATCTAAGCTTGACATTTTTCACTCAATGAGTAAAGAATCTAAATAACTTTCTTTTTCTGATATGAAAGGCAAGACGTGATGAACTTTTTCAAGATATAATATTGTTTAAAATAAACCAAAATGTAACTGTTTGAAGTAAAAAGTTGAACTCAAGGCTTGAATCTGACCAGAGCATCCTCATCACATCTCCTGTGGAACCAACTACCAGTTTTAGTTCGTGTCTACTTTTAAGGGTAGGCTTAAAACTTTCCTTTTTGATGAAGCGTATAGTTAGAGTGGCTCAGGTTATCCTGAGGTATCTCTATAGTTATGCTGCTATAGGCTAAGACTGCTAGAGGACATTGGGACCCCTTTTTAATCATTCTGCTTCATTCTATCTCTATTCTCCCACTGCAGAATTTGTTAGTTCTATCTCTATGCTCTCTCTGCTTTTTCTCATAGTAGCTTCATCTGGTCTGTTCCTGTTTGGCTGTGACTCCATTCTGGAGAGAAATATCAGCTGTGCTGCTGCCATCAACACCTTTGTTTATAGATGTTCGAGAGCTGCCTGTTTTTCAGTGTAGTCCTGTTTCTGTGACTGGCTAGATGTGCTCTCTTCATCCTCTGACATGGGAGCTGGCTCGGACCTCGTCTGGCTGGCTGTGTGTTTCCTGGACGGGGGCCGCCTATGGAGCTGGTTTACAGTTGCCTTTTGTATCGCTGCTTCTAAATGTATGTCAGCTTCTGTCTTCCTGAACCCTAGTCGACCTCGGCAGATGGCTGCTTACACTGAGCCTGGTTCTGCTGGAGGTTTCTACCTGTTAAAACTGAGTTTTTCCTCTCCACTGTCGCTACAAGCATGCTTAGTGTGAAGGATTGCCATCGAGTCAATGAGTCAATCAACTGGTTTTCCTTAGATAGAAAACTTTGAATCAGATTGACTATATGTTCCTGTTGAATTGTAAAGTGTCTCGAGATAATGTGTTGTGAATTGGCGCTATATAAATAATCTGAATTGAATTAAATCACGTGCTATCATCCCTTTGGGAAATGTGATGTTCTTTCTGCTATAACTAGCAGCTTTCCTTGAAACACATTATACATATACATACATATACACATTATACATATACATACATATATACATATACACACACACATATATATATATATATATATATATATATATATATATATATATATATATATATATATATATATATATTTATATACTTGTCAAATTTCCTGAGTTTTCAGTGTCTGTATAAATTTACAGCTTTACCATCAATCGGAGAAGGCTCTGCATTGTTGTGGATGTTCAAGATGTTGCCTGGAGATCCAGGGGGCTCCACGTTAGGCACCGAAGGTGAGCCTTCAGGTTTTCTGATCGAAGGAGCTGGAGTTTCAGCTCGGAGAGAACCTTTAGATTCCCTTCCTTTATTATCTTTTTCCCCTGTAGAAGAAGAAATAGGCTTCTTTTTGACAGTTGAACTTACAACCCAGCTTCAGAAAGCCATAACCCCAAAGCACCCAATTTAGAAAAAAAAACAACAACAAATAAATCACAGACAAACAGAAAAGACTTTGAGACAAGCAAACAGTTAAAAGGGGTTTGGTGCAATCAGTGCTCCTGCTAAGGATGAGATGGTTAGTTTGACTCAAGTAAGCTGCTTAAACATTCCATGTGAGTTTCCAAAGGACACCACAAATACCACAAATGAATATCCACTCAAACAAAGTCAGGTGAAATACAATGCACCCACACCTTCTGGTCATTTGATTAAGAACATGCAGACATGCTGATACAGTGATTAGTAGGGTTGTAATAAATCTACAGATAAAAATGCAGGTGGACTCTGAACAAGAGTACCTTCAGACTCTTTTGGTTTGACTTCGACTGCAACAGGAAAAAAGGGGAAGGCAAGGTTCTTATATGCAGACAATACAAATCAAGAGATAAAAAATATTTCCTAATGTCTCTAATACAGCATAATTCAAGCAAATGATATACTTATTGGCAAGCGTAGAGCTGACACATTATCTAAATGTATTATGGAGCTGTATCACATTAAAACAACAAGATAATTGTCTCAAAAGAACAAGAAGGTTTCTCATTTAAAGAGAAACTTTATTGCATGAAATCAGATATTTGACTGCCTTGGTGGAATGAAGTGTGATGACAAACGGAAAAATTTGCAAGAAGATCGTTATTTCAAGACAGAGACAAATTCAGTCACTGAATAATGGATGTTATCACCTCATGTGAGCTTTTTGCTGGATAAATTTGTTAGCTATATTGCTAAATAGTACAGCTAGTAAAGCCACAATTATCATGACTATATATATATATATATATATATATATATATATTTTTATTTTCTTTATTTTTATTTTATCATATAGTAAATAGTGAACAAAGTCCTGCACACCCTGGCTTCCTGCTCAGAGGTGCTGGAAATGTGAGAAAATGGGACTGATAAAAGTCCATGGAAAATTAAAAATTATTGATTGATCAAAAGTAAGTCTGTGCAGTAGACAGTAGAGAACACAAAATACACCAGGTTAGACAAGGTAGTCATCAAAACCTTCAGGACTTGAGTGTTCTCAAAAGTTTTCTTTTTGTTTGTTGGTTTAATGATGACGACCAATATAAGTAAATAACGATGAATAAACTTTGGCAAATGGAAAATATTCCCCATTAATGTTTTTTTTTTTTAATAAAACATTGTTTAGCGCTTAATAAATTTGGTAGGTTATAAATCTACAAGGTGAATTATTTGAGGTCTTGGATTGTGGCAGTTAGGTGTTAAATGGATAAAAACCAGGAAAAGATAATCTAGGTAAAAAAAAACAAAAAAAAAACAATCTTTTTTATAAGCTACTTATACCGTGTTTATGAGAAAGTTATCTCATTTTTAGAACTACCGGTATCTCGCAAGAATGAGAAACTTTCTCGTAACAACACACAGCTCCATAATAATTCTAAATCATGTGTTAGTTTTACACTTTTGTAGATGGCATATATTCATTTCATACATTTTCATACAATCTCAAAAGTTCCAAAATAATATTAAATGGAAATGACTTTAAAAGAATGTGCCAAAGGGAAAAGAATATGTTTTACCACCGCCTGCTATCCAGTTAGGAACATGGAAGCCCCGAGTCCGTTGCTTTGGAGGATCATGATTCTTCTGCTGAGATTAAACAGGAGTGAAAACACAAATCTGAGGTGAAAAAATAAAAAGGCCTGCAAAATATAGTGTCTCTAGCCCAGTTTTGGTTCATTTAATATTATCATACTGGGAAAGGATGTTTTCTTTCTGCATTGATAAGGATATCTTACCTTAATCCATGGAAAGCCTCGTTTGGACTTCTTACTATCACCTGCCCTGTTTTTCACTTCAAGGTGCTTCATGTAAGACGCCACTGCAGAGAAGATGGCTTGGCTAGAAGGAATATTAAAGGCAGTTGTCATTTAAAAAGAAGTTATAGCACATTTTCTACAGGGCTCCTCTTCCTGGCCATTCCTACTTGATGCTCCTTAAAGAAATCAGGAGATCAGAAGACCAGGCGAAACCCTTTAAAAATGATTTCATACTATATTTATCAAATACATCAACTCATATCAAATAAAATAATTAGGTGCAATAAAAATAAAGATTAATAAAATTATATTTTGTAATCATTTAATGGCAACATGTCATAACAAAGTAAACAAATAAGTGGTATATTTAACTATTTAATAGGAATTTTATTAATGGTTCATATGGTTCATTCATGGAATATATCATTTTGTGGCTCTCCATACATCTCAGGTTCACATCATATTTAAGTGTTTTGTTTCCTTCCCACGGGGTCCAGATCTCCACTACATGCACATACAGGGAGCACTGTTTACAGTTTATAGGGCTAACTATGCTAATCGGCTAAAAAAAAAAGTTATCAACTGTGTTTTAAATGTTGACTGTCTCTTTCAATGGAAAGCTGCATTTTCAACTAAACTAATTAAGGACCTCATTTCTTATATTTTCTACCTTCAATGAGCCAGGACTTTTTGTACTACTTCAATCTATCTTCAGCATTACTGATAAAGTTTTTTTTTAAACCATTTCAAAGTTGGTTCACACAGATCTAAAAAAAAAAAAAACCATTTAAGTTGGATTAAACCTTCTGCATAATACTGTTAAGTTAGTAATATCTAGTTAATTTTAATGTGTATATGCAAAATAATGAAAATCATTATTTACATTTTTAGTTGCATTTATTAGAATCATGTTTGGACATTAAATTGTGGTTTAGGAAAGCCTGAATTTGCTTCTCGTTGGATGAGAGTTCTTTTAAAACCATTGAGGGAGTGGAGTCTCTAAGACAGCTGGTGTTTGACAGCTGCCACCATATGGTATATAGACACATGCTACAAGTAAAGCTATTGAATGGCAGGTGGCAGTTTCTTAAACATCCGCTACTGCTGATCAAGCATAAATTCCTATCATAAAAATAAGCAGCTGTTTGTTATTGATGCTGTTTTTCTGGATGTCAGATGGAAAGCAGGATTATTGAGCACAATCCAGGAGGTTTGCCTTTGCAACGCAACATTATTAGTTCTTTTAACAAAACTTATTCTTGGGAGAATACTCTAGAATAAAGTTTAATAAAAAGCAGAGGCTTGCTCAAAACTGAGCAGTGTCTCTTGTTGAAAGTCATTCAATAAACAAAACAACAAATCTAGACTAAATTGCAAAAAAATTAAAAATGTAAATTGATAAAGGAATGGGAAAGAAAAACTATGTAGAGGAGGGGCTTAGAAAAGTGGGAAGAGGAGAAAAAGCTCATGCAAAAAAACAAAGGAGGAGATATTTGAATGAAGGAGGAGGGTCGGGGGAGGAGAACACAACAGAGCAGCCTCATGTTAGAAACCAACATACAATTCAAGGACTTCAATAACAGTCGCATCAACAGAAGCATTTCGAAATAAAGGAGAAAAACTCTCATGGTTAAAGTAAAGGTGCGAAAGCATGCAGGGCATTTTAAAATAATCTGTTTTTGTCCAACCCATATTTAAAAATCAAACAAAACTCAGAAGATAAAGGTTTGTTGTCCATTATCTAGTTAATAACTCTCCTGCAAGAATAACTTTATTATTAGAGATTTGGTTGGTTGAAAGCATCTGCAACAACCTTGTGGTTAGGCCACAATCAAACTAAGCATGCAGGGATGACATGCAAAGACAAAAAAAAAGAAAAAGAAAACTTTTCAGACTGAAGTGATGCTGAGTAACTCACCATTTTTCCTCATCCGGGACAAAGGTAAGTCTAAAACAGAAGAAATAAATATCAATGAATTATCAACTAAGGTGGGAAAACAGAAACTGCATTCAATCACAGTGCACCAAGCTTACCTCTTCTTTTTAAGTAGCATTTTTCCGTTCGCTCGCTCGACTTTTTATCAGTTCTGTTTTGGGCCGGTGGAATTTAAAGTGACTAAGCTTTTCTTGCTGCAACTCAAAGTTAACTATCTGCTCGTTCTGTTTAGAGTTTAAGCTTTTGATCATATTCTAAAGTTTGCGCAAATAAATGAACCAAAAAGAAAAACAAAAAAAAAAAGATCCAAAATGCAAAATGAAAAGCATCCAACAGTTCAACTGCGTCTGTTCTTATACCTAAATTGTGCAAAACGAATGCAAACTAGATCTATTGTCTCTTAATATATGATGCCGTTTCTTCTCCTATAAAGAGTCTGCAATAAGAAAATCTCAAATCTGGAATGCTCCAACGCAGCAGAAAGGGTCTATTTAACTATGTTTTGTCTGATGCAACAAGCAGGCAAGACTGTAGACATTTGATACTCATGTTGTGAGATGAACATAAAGACTGGGAGGGGTTTCACCGGGATTTCCCTGCATTATCCAATCAAATATCTGGCTTACCCACTTTCTATTCCCACAGAGACCAATGAGCTACAAATGGGCAGAGGTCACTATGAAAGAGGGAGGTTTGTGTGTATGTGTGTGGAGGGTGATCAAGATGGTTGTAGGGAGATGGATGAATAGAGTAATGCTGACCGGATCCGTTGGCAGCCAACAGTGATGAGAGTCTGAAGCTGAATTCTAATGTCTATGAAGTCCATTATCACTGTGTCTGTTTTCCCAGGGTGGCAGTGGAGTGTGAACACTGGATTTCCTTTCATTTCTACTTCCTTCTCCTTTCTCCAGAAAGGAGTAACAACATCCTCTAGACTTTCCATGGCCTCTTCTTTCCCTCTCTGAGCTGCTTCTTGAACAGAAGAAAAAACGGTTGATGGGCGTGAGCCCCGAGGACAACTTTCTCCTTCCTTTCTTTAAATACGCTCGTTGCACAGAAGTTATGCTGCACTAATCTTCCCGATCTGTTGCTCTCCCCCTCTCTGTCTCCCTTGCTGTGCATACAGCCCAACACACAGAGAGTTGGCAGAACTCCAGCAAGAGCCATCCTGCCAACGTGGCACTGCTGCCTCCATCTTTTCCCCTCTGCCTTCTCATTTCCTTTTCACGTTTTTTTGCTGTGCTTCCGTTGCAGATCTCTTGCCAACTCTCTCACCCCAAGACCTTCTTTTTCCTTCAGTTTGCTGCTGGATTCCCCACTGTGCTTGATGTTTCATTCTTTACATGCATTTAACGTAGACACAGTTGGAGTAACTACGGGGTTTCTCAGCAGAAGAAAAGATAATCCAAAAATTAACTCAGTTTTTACTATTAGAAAATTAGCTTTTAAAAATATTGTCATTAGGCAATACTGAGTATAAATATATATATAACATTTTCTTACTCCTTATTGCTCCTTCTCTTCCCCACCTCATCATTCCTTCCTTTTTTTCTTCTATCCTTGCATCTCTCTTCTCCTCTTTCTGTTCTTCCACCCTTTTGTTTCTCCTTCCTATTTTAGTAATTTTTAATGCATATAGTCTAGTATTTTTTAAACACTTAAGAGAAAGCAGGGTTGGTTGTCAGCAATATCATTTCATCCAGCAAAGAGTGCAAAAAAAAAAAAAAAGGGGGTAAGTGGTTTCGGGGTTAGAAGATCTGATATTGTTTGCCATAAAAAATGTGTTCACATTTTTAAATAAAAGCCCTGTAATATTTTAAACATTATTTGTATTAGCTTATATTCAATGTCTTCAAAACCTGTGAAGTCAAAGATACATTTGAAACGGATTTTGTCTTAGCCACACTACAAAATGTAGCCGTTAGCTTAGCTTTTAGGAGAAAAAAAATCCGTTGTGGTCGGTTGTCCCAGAATGTCTGGGTTTGGTTGCCGCGTGTGACAGCCAGCTTTTCCATTGTGTTAGATTTATAATTTTCCCTGTTTCTTTTAGATCATAATGTGCAGGAATTTTGTAAGGACAAGAGAAAAGGGGGAGACTTCACCAGAAGTAACGTTGCCGCTGTCAGTAAAAAAAAAAAAAAAAGTTTTGATCTTGCGACAACCATCTACCCTACTTTAATTGCCCATTATGTTACTTTAGTAATCTAAAGCTTCCATGTAACTTTCCTCAAATAAAAACAAAATGTTAAAGACAAACCCCTAAATGTATTCCTAGTGCTTAAAGTGCTTTTGGTCAAGTTCAAAATACGTGTTTGTTAAGTTCTTTGCAGCGAAACACTGGGATGATAATGAGTGATTAAAAGGTCAGACAACAGGCAGGGGTGGGTTCTGAACTTGGCTGCTGATCAGAAATGCTGCTGGTTTGTTGGCAACCATAAACAGCCAAGATGGGAAACCTATAAAAGTGTAATGTTTTTCCTGTTGGGAAATAGCAAAGGTTGACCGAAAGTGCAAAGTAACATGTAGGGGAGGGGCAGCAGTAAGGTACTCTATACTCCACACAGGTGGAGAAAATTGACAACATGACACGCTATTAAAAGAGCATTAACTCTAAGAAGACAGACACGTTTGGCAGCTTTGACATTCTGATAGGATTCATGTAATAAAAACTAGGTCCTAATAAAACTAAACATACGAAAATTCTACAGAAGGATGCAGTAGTGATTAAAATAGTTATCACACTGAGAGCCACTGAGAGCGTCTTTAAATATGAGTTAGGAAACGTCTTGTTTAGATGGAGCCTAATGAGCAACCATCACTCCCACTACTCTGTATGTCATTAAGTAAATGTGACATGTTAAAAAATCAGCTGCAATTAAATAGTAGTTTTTTAAGATGTTTCAAGAGCAACATTTCAAGCAGAACTGCTAAAGATTTGGGACATTAGAAGACCAGCAGGTGTTTTGAGAGATTTTAGCTCCTTTATAAACAATAAAGAACCATTTGGTAGAAGTTTCCTGAGCTCTCATCAGGTTTAAAAATAACTGTTGTGATTTTTTTAACAAGTTAAATCACTGTTAAAGAAATGATCCGTGGATATCTTCATGCATATTTTAAAATGCTTGTCTGTGCAGCTTTGGGTCAGTAACTGCAACAGAAAACTTCTTTTCTGTCCAGACACCGCTTTATAAGAATCCCCACAACAATTAAGGCATTAATTCACACTCATAGATTAGAGACTTTGTTTGTTCACATCTACTGGAATATGTGCCTTAACTGTTTGTCTTGGCAGGACATGAATAAGACTTCAGCCTGTGAAGTTGCTTCTGATAAAGAACAGGAAATACCACTTACTGTGAATCATACATCTTCTCCAGCAGATTCTCGGCCACAGATTTCTCCTTCATGTCCATCGGGACGCGGTCAGTGGGATAGTGACTTTCAACATCCATCACCTGCTCCTCGCACTGGGTCATACCCATCATCCTTTTCTGCCTGTATAGGACACAGTAACAGGAGATGGTAAAGGGAAATTGTTGCCAAAAAATATACAGAAAGCTTAAGTACTGAACACAGCACCGGGAGATATGAAAAAGACAAACTATTAAGTTTTGACTCAAGAGTTTAACACATCAATTTAACAACATATTATAAAAAGACCCTCAGACGTATTCTATTTAGTTATTGTTAAAAATCTGTTGTAAATTATAAGGTACATCATAACGTCTTTGTCTGGTACTAGTTTGTTTTTTTTTCCCTGTAGAAACAAAGAAAACCTTTTCTAAGTTTAGGATCAACAATGACTTTTTACATACATTTGCTAAAACAAAATCTTAAAATTTTGTTGAAATATATTACAATTTTCAGTTTATTCTTAAAGTCGCAAAAAAAGACATATTTATTTTGATATTATAGTTAATAAAAATCAAGATATTTGGCCTGCAAGTACAGCAGATTTGACCATTTTGGATTTTGTGAGCTAAAAGTTTGGACACTCCTGGCTTATGTAGTATAAATGTAGATGTTTTTCCACCAAGAAGAAAAAATATGAACATAAAATGGCTGAACTGACCAACAGAAAATAGTATTCAGTCATTTAGTTTTGATTGAAATAAAAAAAAAACTGTCATGTTGTGCAAAAATGCATGTTTGTTCTGAAAATTCAATGAAATAACTAAATATTTGTTCATGCATATCATAAGTGAGTTTAACTGTCATAAAAGTACACAACTCAAAAACAGATTTAAATGATTACTGTTCACATGGGATACAGTGCTGCTGCAAAGGGCATTTTCCTTCTATGTCGGAAGAAAATGTTTGGAGAAAAGAAAACATGAAATGCAGGACAAAGAGCTTTAAAATCCCTAGATACAGATGAAAAGGCTACTAATGGCTGAAACTGGATGCAACAAATGAGTTTCATCACTTTGTGCTACAGCCACGAAAAAAAAAAAAAAAAAAAAAAACATACATTAGCAGGGCAATAAGGAAAATAATAACTGCTGACCAACAGATCTTCATACAGTACAGCAAGAAATGTTAGACCCTCTACACATTTCTTCTGTCCTGGTTTCTTTTCATTTAAACTGTGAATTTTTAAGTTTCAGACAAAGAAAAGCTTTGTAAAAACAACAACAACTGTTACACTTTTTATTTACTAAGAGGAAAAAAATCTGTATGAAATGAGCCACATGTGTAAAATATGATTTTGAAGGAAACAATGTCACTAATTGATTTTCATTGCACTTCAGATCCTACAGTAAAAAGATACAACACTGTCAGGTAATGTTGCTGCTTCTGAATTGTGTTTTTTAAGTGTGAAATTTCCCACTAGGAGTCGATAACCTGAAAACTCTCAAACAGTTAAAGCTGAGCATCCTTTGGGATGGAGGGTAAAATCTGTCTGTCTTCAGTGATTGAACTGTGAGAACTGCACCTGAAATCCTCCAGCTGTTTGGCCACCTCCGCCGCTTGACATTTCTGCACTTCTGCAGCGTAACGTCTTTGGGTGTCATCTGACAGCAATTCTGGACGAGTCCGATCTTGGAAAGGGAAAATTACAAATTCTTAGAATTGGCACGTCCACAATGGAAAAAACCAAAGATAAAACAAACCAACCATTTGTACAATCAATAATATATATATATATATTTTTCCAAAATATGACCTACCCAGTTCAAAGGATAAACTGGTTGGCATTGAAACTCTGAGAATCTGAAATGCAAAAAAGCAAATGTTACTGAGAAGATCTTGAAGATCATCAGCTATAAGATGGCTTTATTACATATTAATGGAGATTCATAGCAATTATAAGGTTAACCCTCTTTAATTCAAAAGATTTGTATTTTTCTCATGTTTATGACCTTTTAAAGGCTCTTTAAATACCACTTGCATAATCACCCAACAAGGTTTTTAGGACAGAAGCAGTTTTAACATAATTCTCCTTGTCTCAGTCCTTCTCACACTAGTCAGTCGAGTAAACTGCCAGGTCCAGCTTATCTTAGTATACAGTAAATAAAGACACTATGCAGGTCATCGGCTGCGGAAACGTACCGACTGGTTTTGACATTCTAACACTAGATTTCTATAAAAAGGTTGAGCAATGAAAACCCACTTTTCACTGACCTACTATACTTCAATTTCTACAAGGTTTTGAGAATTTTGCTTTATTTTAGATAAATAATGACTCGGTTGAACATACTCTGTGTGTCTGTATGTGCGTATTCTTAGGGTTTTTTTCACATTGGAGTTCAAACTATGTAGATTTTGATCAAATGACATAAAAAAAAAGAAACCATATACCCAGCATTGATTCAAAGGCATTATGTATCTCGACATATGAACTTATTGGGTTTTAGACAGTAAAATAAAAAGCAATCTAACCTACAGTAGCAAAATATTACAAAGTCTTACAAAACCTTTTTCCTTTATTTGGAGGAGGTCCCCACTTTGATATGTAAGCAACGGTCAGAGATCCAGGTCCCCTTTTGGCAATTTATTTTGAATTTATATAAATGAGAATTTTCAGTGATACTATGGTAACACAGCCTAAAGGTAAAGGTTAAATTGGGCTTTTGGAATTTTTCAAATTAGCAGAAATAGAAGTCCCCTCTTTCCCAGTTACCAAAATAGTCCCCTGTTCTGGACTGAAGATCTTTTCAACCCTCAGATTGGATTTAATAATTTGCAACCTGGAAAGATTCAGTTTTGTGCAAATTAAAGCCCTAGAACTAAGATTTGAATAACCTTAGCTGTATCTGAGTAAAACAGTATGGCGCAGTTGCTGTCTTTCTCCACCAGGGGTCATTTCAACACCAGCAGTAAAAAATAAACTACATTTTGAAGAAAACAATAATATCCCAGATAGGAGTCACAAAACTCCTTCATTGATGTAGAAATAACTACCTAGTCTAACTTTAAATGCTTTGGACCAGAGCATAGCTGCTTTTATTTATTTACTCTTCTTCTTAAGTAGATCTATGACTAAAAATTCCTCCTGTGGGACTTTTCCCACGATCCTGACAGGAAGTTGAGGCATTGACGAAAGCCTTAAAGAGAGCGAGAGCAGAGCACTGTTGACTGACATGCACAGTGACAGAGACATCTGAGGAGGCAGTGAGACACGCCAGGAGTGCAGAGGAAAGATGCAGGAAACCACAGAGATACTGAGGAGAGCTGCTTTGATTGAGACCAGGTAGAGCAAACAAAGATGACACACGGCCGAGCTGCAAACAAACTCATGGTCACACTGTGTTCTCGTCTCTTATCAGCTCAGGATATTGCAGGTGCATCTAAACACCTATGTACATGGTTGTAAAGTGAAACTCACTGATTGATTACACAGGAATGGAGAGATTTCAAAAATGGACTCATGATTTCTTGGATTGATTATAATTCTTAAACAATGAAAATCAAACATTTTATTTTACAAAAGGGGATCATATTAAATGAGAGAACAAAATAACAGAGCGAAAAAGTGCTAAGAACTCCTGGGAAATAAAATCTACATTAGGCTTATGAGCGGAGGGAAGCAGGAAGAGCTCTAAAATGTCCTGGTAGACAGCTGTGCTGACTTTGGACTGAAAAAACCACAGAGGACTGAAACCAGCAGCACCCTGAATGACCACTGACTGGGAAAACTGCTCACTGGATCTGTTAGTTCCTTTGCTTCACTTGTCTGGAAAAAAATCCTAGAAATTTGTAAAAAGGTTGAAAGCCTGAGTTTTTTTAAGTCAAATTTAAAAACTAATTTGTATAGAGCTGCCTTTGACAGCTGAAGTTGAACCGTTAACTGGGGCATTATTAGTTTAAGGTTGAGGTCCAATTGTGTTATTTGTTTGACACATTATTTTTATCTTTATTTGCTTTCATTTTTTTTTTCTATTTTATTTTCTAATTCATTTAACGCACTTTGAATTGTCCATGTACTGAACTGTGCATGCCTAACAACGTGGATTCGATGCATTTTTACTATTCCATTCAAATCTTGGGACCTTGATTTCCAAATGTAGCACAGAATGATCCTTTTCTTTAAGATCCAGTCTAAGTGCTTTAGACATCGTCTCTGGTTCAGGAGTAGCTTCATAAAGCTATGGCAGCGATACAATAACTTTACATTTTCCCTCACTCCCAACTTTTCAATTACACCTTAACTTCCTTAGAGCTGTAAGCTGTAATAATGACTGCAAAGTGAATCTATATAATATGTAAAGTCGAGGTTAAGCTCTAAATTACTTCAAAAGAAAAATGACTGAGTGAATTCCTTTAATTCAGCAATGCTTCCGCAGCAGAACAATCTAATGCAGACAGCTGAATGAGGAACAAACCTGTGCTTTACTTCTTAACCATCAGATTGACTGATAATACTATGCTTTGCTAACAAATAGGGGGACACAGATTTCGAGGAAAAATCAACAATTCACACACATACCGGCTCCTAAGGATCCGTCTATAGAGACCAAGTAACCTGACCTGCAGATTGCTGGAAACTAGGAGGTACTGGAGGAACAGGAGGAGACCCACCATGCAGAAAGACCTCAGGCTTCTTGGATAAATTCTCAGAATATATTTTTTTGTTTTTTAAAAATACTTAGATATGTGACCATTCTCCCCACTGGTATTCTTAAACAGCCAGTATTTTTGGTATGAATTATAAGCAGCATTCATAAACAAGAAAAAGCAAAGTCCTCTAGAGATCGTCAAAGAAAATACCAAAAAAATGCATCGGAAAAAACTGATTAGAAACAAACGTAGACCACAGTAGTTCAGCCCATTTTACACCACTAACAGTTGTTTGAATGAAACAAATCAATGTCCCATTAAACCAAAAATAGATGCTGTAATTTAATGGAAAATATTAATGATTTTTCCCATAATCCTGTTTTGGATCACTGCTGATCCAACTGTTAGCCAACATCCTGCATTTGGAGCGCTAGCCTCGTATTAAAGAGCCAATTAAACATCCTTAATAAACCAAATAAAGCAGCTCTGATGCTCACAGGCCATGTTCACCCAGATCTACTTTAATAATTAGTGAGGTTTCAACTTCTGTGTTTTCTTTAACTTGATTATTTTTTTTTTTGAGTTATTCTTACAGTTGCTTAATAAATGGTCATTACCAGATAATGAGACAAATGAAACGCTTGTCCGCCACTGCGTTTAAAATGTAAAACTGCAGTAATACACCTTACAAAGTGAAGCTACAATAAGCGCTGACAATTAAAGTATCTCATTTAATTTTGATCAAAAATCACTTCATTTTTGATTAGTTCTGGTAGTGTTCAGTTATTCTATAGTTTTTCTTTTAAATCTAATTTCATCCTGCTTGATATTTATATATTTTTTTTTTTTTAAGAAAGAGTGTAACCTTCTACTTACTGCACCCTTCTCCAAGAAGTTATTGTAGAAGTCAGGAAACTGTTTCTTGGTGTCTCTAGCATTGAGGTTCTTTACAATGTCGGCATGGAGATAACACAGCTGTGGATGAAAAAAAAGTTAAATATTACGAAAAAAAGGAAGTATGGACAAAGCCAAACAAATGAATGGTGGAGGTAAAGATGAAAAAGAGTGACAGCTGGCTGGGTGGCTGCTGTTTAATGGATATCATGGTAATCGTGGTTATGGGAAGTGAAATCTGTGGTCATTTGCAACAGAAACCTTCTTGAAAACTGGATTCACTTTCTTTTCATGCAGAATAGTTCAAAAGAACCTCTGCTGTCAATCTGGGAGGACAAGTTTTCCTAACACTGAAAAGAACATTTCATCAGTCTGCTGAAAACTCAGTAAAGGTTAGTCCTCTTCTTCAGAATCGAATCCTCAAATGTAGGATTGAATTATTGAACTGAACCTGCCTCCTGGCAATAGATTTTCACCAAATATTAAAGAGTCAAAGGTGAGCAAACGCTGCCTTTATTCTTTGCAGGTCATGAGGAAAAATCATGGGCCAAAATGAAAAAGTTAAACCAGGGCACATTTTGGGCATGACTGGATTCATTTGAGGGGAGAAGCTTTAAAGAGGAAGACTTAAAAAAAAAGAACAAACATGATTTGATTTCAGTTCATTAAAAAGCCCCTGAGGAAGAAAAAGCCACTTATATCCAAAGACAGAGGATCTTTACTGGAGAGTCCAGCTTTTTCCCCACAGTAACTCAGAATAAAAAAGAAAAGGCTGCACTAAAGCAGGTATTTGTGTGTTTAGCCTGCAGTGTAAATTCCTCTACATTCTTGGTAGAGAGAAGGTGAGGCAGATGGGATTTCTGAGGACGGCGTGTTACAAATTTGGGGTCGGATATTCCTGAGAGCATTAGAAGACTGTCAGAAAATGAAATAAGTGATAAATACAGAATGAACGATAAGACAAAGGATGGACAACAATAAAATGTATTTTGTAATAAAGCATAATTAAATGAAGAATGCCAATAACTATGTGTTTCCTGATAGAAGGTTTTCATTTCTGATAAGATGATGACATTGACCCAATAGGTCTTTAAAACAGGAAACAAAAGTCAACAACAAAAGCTATAAAAACAACTAACCCATGTAAAATTATCCAATGAGTTACAGAAACCTTTAACAGAAGCACAGTTTTTCTTTCAGCATGAAAATATCAGAGATTTTAGATGCCGGCCAATAAAATCCAATGTAGTTGTATGTTGAAATCAAATTTAGTTTTTTGGCTAATATCGGACGAATATCCAATATTAATACCGGATTGTGAAATCCCAACCAATAACTGGAAGAAAAATTTTTTAAACCTTATCAAGTAATCCAACTTAACACCATTTTAAATGGCCAGGTTTATTACAGAAAAACAGAAACTGTTCTTCAGTTTCCATCCTACAGTTTCAGATGGGTTTAATATTAAACTTTAAATAATTATATTAGAATAAAGGTGTCCTATTATATGTCACTTAGGGGTATCAAGCCAATTAGGAAATCATAATATCAGCAGCATTGTATCAGTGTTGAGTATTGGATATTCCACCAATATAATTCACAAATATTAAAGCCACTGTTTATGTGGATAATTAGTAATAATTTTGCCTACAGCTCCAGTGGGTAAAGTGGACCCAGTTGATACTGTGACTCTGCCACAGAGATAAAATTTTAGATGCGTGAATTTTTTTTTAGACAAATATCAGTAACAGTTATTGGCCAATTAAAGGTATAGTGGAGGATTTTCGCAATCATTTTTTAAAGACCCGCCCACTCCACTTTAAAAAAAAAAGGTGCACATGCACAACCCTATAACTGCTCCCGAGAGGGAACTCCTACTAAACACGAGTCAAAGCATCATGCACAAGCCCATTTTTCCTCCTGCACGCTCTCCTCGTCCTCGTGATGCAAGAGCATCACTCTTACAAGCTTACTTTCCAAAAAAAGATCAGTAATTTTTCCACTATGTCAGACTCACGACCTGTAAGTGAAAATGGGGACGAGCACGTAAACATATCACAAGAATGATTGACAATTAGGAGGACCACTTATTTTAATGATCCACCCTTAAAAAGAACATCCTCCACTATACCTTTAAGTTATAAAATATCTTTATTTTATAGGATATCAGTCAAAATTCTAATATTGTGATTCCCTAAGATGAATTAGTTTTTACCTGTTTAAATTACATATTTTATAAACATTAAAATCCTCTTGATCAATTAAAATAATTAAACATTTAACAAATGTATATTTTAAAAATAATAGGTATTATAATAATAGAATACTGATAAAAAGAAGAATATGAACTTGTGATTATTAGGTTATGGATTATATATTTAGTGACCCTTAATGTATTTTTTTAATACACCTCCTTCCTTTTACTACATAAAGATTTTTACTGAAATATTTCTTTAACAAAAAAAAGGCACGGACATTTTAGGCCTTTTTTAATTGGACTACCTTTAACAGTTATCTAGAACGACATTTTGGAGTCAATATTTTTTGATCAAATTACCCACAGCCAGGCAGCAAATGTAAGGAGGATTTAGCACAAATGACTGACTGACTGACTGACTGACTGACTGACTGTCTGTCTATCTATCTATCATTTTACTGTCTGTATTGTTGCATACCTAACACTACTAAACACACACAAACATTTTTAAAACAAAACAAATCATAAAAAAAATGGGGATGGAAATTATTAAACTATAAAAATCCCTGTGTGATAGTCAGACCTCATAGTGAGAAGTCTTTCAGATTTCAAAAAGAATGAAAATTATGAAGTCCTCACCAAGGGTGTGGGATCGAACTGCAGAATGACATGCTGCATGAAGACCAGCAGGTGAGTCGGCCGTTTCTTCAATGTCTCGATGTTGTCGAAATACGGACATTTGTCATCTGCTGGCTGCAACCAACAAAGAGACGCCGAGAGAAAAATAACAGAATTAAAAACTTGTGAGGTACCATCTAAACTCAATATATTTGTACGTTTCCCCTCCTGCTTTACTCACGTCTGCTAAATCATTCTCAAAGTCCTCGTCTTCGGCCCCGATGATGCTCATGGCTGGCTCAGAGCGTTGAGCTCCAAACTAACCCCGCTGTGGAGAGGCAGAGGGAGAAAGTCGGATTAAACAAAAGATTAGCTAATATTATAAACTTCATTACACATTTCTACCCTAACCCTGATTCTATTGATTCCATAGATCCCTGGCTAAGCAGAGGTCAGCAGTAAACCAGATTAGAGTCTGAATAAAGTAAACTGTCTCACTGCAAGTCACGTACACAAAGCAGAAATCAGTGATAAGTCTGAACATAGATTAACTAAAGGGAACAATAATTCCAGGAGCATTTTTTAGACCCAGCATCAATAAGCTGTAAAGATACCTGCAGCTTTTATGCTGGGACATTTAGGTTAGCAGCTGAGCTCAGGAGGGAACAGCTGTGACTTCAAATTGAGCAACAGTAAATTCTTCCTCAATCTACAACCTAACAGAGAGCTCTGTTGTAGACAGCATGACGTAAGCTCTCGCATCTAAAAATGGCAATGATTTCATAAAGCTTTAGGCCAGCCCTTGTCTTTGAAATCAATGAATAGGGGAGAAAAAAAAATGCTTTAGAACATATGACAAACCCACCTCCACCCTTTACACCCTGCACCACTTCCCCTGCCCCAAAACACACAAATAAAACACAGCTCCTGTATTCAGTCCCCTGAAGGCCACAGACCCACAGCCGCCAGCAGGGAACACCCAAACACACATGAAAAAGGTAAACTGTAGGACAGGGAATGACTACAGTGGGCACAGTGTGAGAAGTGGGGGATGCTTTAAAGAAAAGGGGTGGGTGGGGGGGATATGCACACGGCCTAGAAAGGACAGAATTCCTTGTCTTAGCTTTCGTAGTCAGACTTTAAATGCTTTAAGATTATAAAAAAATAATAATAATACTCTATGTTGCCCAGATTAAGTACAAAATTTAGTTTTTAAAAGATTTTTTTCATTTATTATGCAGGTAGAGGTATTCTGGGGAAAATACTGTCCCTTAACCTAATGAGTACAATCTAGATTTTGCAAAATGTTAATCTTGATAATCTTCGTTGACTTTAACACATAAAAAAGCTAACTTGTCCCAAATTGTAACTCTATAGCTAAAACTTGCACATGATCTGGATCATTACCGAATTTAAGTTACTTGTTCCTTGGCATGAGGCGCACCTCTGGTAAAGAATTTCCATAAAATATGTTCATAAGTTTCCATTTATCCTGCTAACAGTCCAACAATATTCCCTTTTCTTGTGTTTTTCTCTTCAATAGAATTCCTCCTGACTTTTTGAGTCCGAGGCTGAGGCTGTAAATAGTCACTGCTGCCACCCTCTGGTATAGTGGGGAACTGCATGTTTCGTCAAATATTTCAACAAATATCCCCATCATACAATGGTAGAGAATCTTTAAAAAAATTCCTGTATCCAGATCATGATCTGGAGCCTCTTCAACATTTAATAAATTGTTTCTTAGCATAAGGGACACCTCTGATAATTAATGAAATTTTCAAATTGTCCAGTACACAAACACACAAACTTACTTAAAAACATAACCTCCATGGCGGAGAAATAAAGCTCTTAAATGTACTTATTTTAACACATAATAAATACAGATTATGAACCTTTGTATTTACTGTTTCTTGCACACCGTAAATCTGACACACAAGTAGCATTACAAGTGTTGGTCCACTACTGGGGGTATTTAAGCTTAAAAACCATCTCAGTGCAACTCATGTTTGGAGGAACACAGATGTTTGCAATGCTAAGGTTAGCGTAAACTGTTGTGGCACAAATTCACCAGCCAGCACATACCGCACCCGATGACGAGTATTAAAGCCAACAGAAGTATGTAGACGAAAACAAAAACTAAACAACTTCCTGGTTAAGTGGGTTGCAACATGGATTGTTTGTCTTAGTAACTGGGAAAAGCAGCCTCAGCGATTGATATGATTTAACTGCACCAAATGTTAAGGTTTGAAAAGCAATGCTTTATGCATAGCTATACTGTTCAAGTTCTGCTGTAACTTTTAGAAATGGAGCTTCTGTTTACAGCAAATGTTAAAGGATATATTCTATGCATGGCTTCTATTCATTTCAACCATATTCAATTGAAATGTGCTTCAATTAATGTACTGTTCACACTTCTAAAAGATGTGGAAGGAGATATCAGGGTTTAAAAAAACAAAAACAAAGTTCAATTATTACAACTTTCTAGGGCAGCAACTAATTATTATTCTGTAATGGATTAATCTGTTGATTGATTTTTCGATTTATCGACTAATAATCAGGCAGCAGAAGGTTCCTTAAAATCCAGTTGAAGCTGAAACTAATCCACCTAAGGAGTTCTGGATAGAGCATTTTAACAGACTTTTTTTTTTAATCTTGAATACAAAATGTTAAGTTTGTTTTTACAATTTTGGTATAATTACTGCTCTGGTTGGTTGCTTTTATGGTGAATAGCACGTTTTTAGAGTCTCTATGCTACATTTAAAGAATAACCAATTACTAAATTAGTTGACCATTATATGAATAACCAATTAATCATGATTAATCCCTTTAAGTGTTTCAGCCCTACAACTTTCAACCAATCTGAGGGTTGAACAACCCAAAGAATTAACTCAAAACAACAAATGTGTATTAATGTGCTCATAGGTTTATTTATTCAAGAATCTAATTGAAAAGGCTGTTTATTTTTTCAGTATATGGTTTTGCGGTAAAATAAAATTAATTGCGATCAATCTATAAATGACCCTGTAAATAACTTGTTTAAAACTTTAGTTGATATTATGATTCTAAATAATGTTTAGGACAAGCTACACTATACTGAAAAGTTCCAACGGCTGTAAAGTAAAAATATGAAAGATGTTGATACTAAACTTGATTTGTGCTTTTATTTGCTAATTTTAAGCAAATAATATAATATAAAATAATAGAATAGAATAGAACAGAACAGAGCAGAATAGAATAGAATAGAATAGAATAGAATAGAATAGAATAGAATAGAATAGAAATCCCTTTGTTGTCCCATAATGGGGAAATTCTGGAGATTTCCCCAGGACAATTCTGGAAATACTGTCCTTTAACAAACTCTTAAAAAAGCTGCTTCTTAGCAGAATTGTAATTGAGAACAGGTTTACTTTTTAATATTTCTAAAAACACACATGGCATAGATAGATACACACTAAAGAAGAAAATAAAAGACCATATCCTGCATCTTAATGACCATTGTGTTATAATAGTTTCACTCTATTGCTTCATCAGCTCTGTAATCAAGTTTGCTGCTGCACATCTAAAAACTAAGAAGGTTGTGTTACTTTCTAAAAGGCCAGGGCTTATTTAAGTGATTAGGTAATCTGTCCTGCAGAATACAAACTGGAACTTCTTGTAACAAACGCTGCAGCAGCTGAGCTGAAGAGAAGACCAGCAAGTGAACATTTGGGCCTAAAAGGATAATGTGTTACAAACAGGAAACATGGGCAAGCAGGAGGATTTACATTCTAGAGTTTACTAGCTTCATGACTGAGTGAGGAGATCTTCAAAACCTGAGCTCCTACTATGTGGTCTTGGTCTGGAATGCTTCAGATTTATCAAAAGTTGTCCAAGTAACAAACAATGATGGAGCCAAATTTCACTGAGGAACGTGGGGAGTGAGGCTAAGCCCATAGTGTCTGATTTAACAGCTGAGCTTCTTTAGCTTCATTTATTAAAGAGGTTTATGCTGATTCTGATTAAAATGAAATGACATAGAACAGTGAATGAGGGAGCAGCATTTCTACAGAACAATGAAGGTACCCGTGCTGAAACCATGTCCACCGCTGAAAGAACCAGACATGGGCAGGTTAGCATCAGAAATAGGGCACTTGGCAAAGGAAGAAGGTAGTCTGGTCTGATCAGTCAGCCATCTTCTCCGTTATGGAGGATCAGTTTCCTCATGTGGGACCAGGATACACTGGGGAGAAGCATAACTGGTTTGGGCGGTATGATACTTTGGGTAATGTTTTGCTAAGATCCACATGGATTTTACTTTGATACGGTCCATTACCAAAGCATCGCTGGCTACCATGTCCATAACTTAACAGAGGAAGTATTTCCTGATGCCTGCCTCTTAGTTTATGCTACAAAGCAAAATCAGACATACACTATATTGCCAAAAGTATTTGCTCACCCATCCAAATTATTGGAATCAGGTGTTCCAATCACTTCCATGGCCACAGGTGTATAAATTCAAGCACCTAGGCATGCAGACTGTTTTTACAAACATTTGTGAAAGAATGGGTCGCTCTCAGGAGCTCAGTGAATTCCAGCGTGGAACTGTGATAGGATGCCACCTGTGCAACAAATCCAGTCGTGAAATTTCCTCGCTCCTAAATATTCCACAGTCAACTGTCAGCTGTATTATAAGAAAATGGAAGTGTTTGGGAACGACAGCAACTCAGCCACGAAGAGGTAGGCCACGTAAACTGACGGAGCGGGGTCAGCGGATGCTGACGCGCATAGTGCGAAGAGGTCGCCAACTTTCTGCAGAGTCAATCACTACAGACCTCCAAACTTCATGTGGCCTTCAGATTAGCTCAAGAACAGTGCGCAGAGAGCTTCATGGAATGGGTTTCCATGGTCGAGCAGCTGCATCCAAGCCATACATCACCAAGTGCAATGCAAAGCGTCGGATGCGGTGGTGTAAAGCACGCCGCCACTGGACTCTAGAGCAGTGGAGACGCGTTCTCTGGAGTGACGAATCGCGCTTCTCCATCTGGCAATCTGATGGACGGGTCTGGGTTTGGCGGTTGCCAGGAGAACGGTACTTGTCTGACTGCATTGTGCCAAGTGTAAAGTTTGGTGGAGGGGGGATTATGGTGTGAGGTTGTTTTTCAGGAGCTGGGCTTGGCCCCTTAGTTCCAGTGAAAGGAACTCTGAATGCTTCAGCATACCAAGACATTTTGGACAATTCCATGCTCCCAACTTTGTGGGAACAGTTTGGAGCTGGCCCCTTCCTCTTCCAACATGACTGTGCACCAGTGCACAAAGCAAGGTCCATAAAGACATGGATGACAGAGTCTG